AGGTAGCAAAGGCAAGCAACCTTGCCTTGACATTCTGTTGAAACATATAGAATAGAAGCAATTATTTTTTTCTTTCATACAGGAATTATTAATAAGTTTGTTTGCAGCATCACAAAATTTCAATTAGATGAGAATTATTAAGAAGCTTTTTAGCTTTTCAATTTCAATCCTATTTTGCTTGATGAATGTGCTTAGGATGCAACTAATATTTAATTATATTATATAATTATATATATTATTTATAAAAATATACATTATATATTATATAATAAATATATGTATAAATATATTATATGCATAAAAAATATATATATATATTATAATACATATTATATATTGCGTTTGAGACATATTAAACTAAAACGTCGCAGAGTCCTTAGCAGGATTCATCATGTTTATTAGAATAGATAGAAGAGGCTTACTTTAAGTTTACGGATGTTATCAATTTTCAACGATTTTTATGCAAAAGATTTTTGCCGTGCAAAAAATTGCGTAGTTACTAAAAGTATGTTTTCTATTATAATTAAAATAAAGGAAGACTCGCGTGCAGTAGACGATATATTTCTTACCGGAGATAATGGAAAAAAAAATTATTGATTGTTGATTCTTTTGCAGGATCAGATTTTCTCCTCAATTTTCATAAGGCTTCCAAATCACGTCGCAGTGCAGCAGAAATGCTTCATCACCAAGTAGAGAAGAAACAGGAAATGAGGTTCAAGCCGGATTTACATATGAATCCATTTCCAGCTAGGGTTAGAATACAGGATTTTGATTGGTCGAATTTTTAAGGCTCATACATATGCCTTAAAAAAATCTGTGCTCCGGTCTTTATGTAGAATTAAAAAAAAAAATAAATAAAATAAATAAAATAAAATAATAAAATAAAATATTAAATTTAAAAATGAGTTTTTTAAATTATAACTAGAAATTAAAAAGAAATAGGATGATATAGATATATAGATATATATATAGATAGATATATAATATATAATTTTTACAATAATTAATAATTGGTCTAAATATGTTATATAATATTTAAATATATATATTTATTTAAGTTGTAATTTCCTAAAATCACAGAGTATGAAATATTGTCATTCCTATTTTATGATAGGCCTGTTCCAATTGTATATGTATATAAATTCGCTATTTTACATACATTATTTTTACGAATAATTGCACTAATATGCAGGAAAATTATACAATATATGTACATAAAAAATATATATGATACATAAATTTTTTCATGAACTATTAAAAAATACATTGCAATATCACCTTTTCAATATCAAACTGACTACTTTTTGTTATTTAAATTTTCATATTTTGTTTATATGATAAATATTAATGATTTTAATCAGTATCTTCTGTTATTTGGATGAAAGCTATCACGTTGCGTCTTATATGTAGCTGCATATATATTAATATCATAATAGTAAAGACGTAAAATACTGCTGATAAAAACCACACTGGTAGAGGATACAAAGGTGGCATATAGTGGAATAAAGAAAAGTATATAAAGAAGCTGCCGCAAATGGTAACAGCGTCTCTAGAAATGTTGCTAGAGAGAAAACCTTCCCTGTTAAAGATGTAAAAATATATTACAAAGATATCTCAAAAATAAATATTTGAAATAAAATAAATAAGCCAATACATTCAAATATATATCTATGAATATTCTCACTTTGATAATTATTAGATATTTATCTAATTATTCTGAAATTAAAAAACAAAATTTATACCTGTATCCTTCTCAGGTACTGCTTTGGATAATATAGCACGTATCATTGGTTTAGATAAATCACTAAACATGCCTACACCTGTTGACAAGTACATATGCCAGGATTGCCATGTAAAAGCACACACTAAGGCACTACATAAAGATGATATGACAGATATTATGGCAATCACCACTTCTGGAAATTCTAGAAAATTTAAATATTTTATAAATTCATTATAATTTATATATATATATATATATACATATATATATATTATATATTATATATTTATTTACCTGAGCATCATCTCCCGCGCCAAATTTAACCATATTAATTTTTTTTATTGTTGTCAATGCGAGTCTTACAATCTTATATTTATATATATTTTATATAAAATTTATATATAAATAATACAATAAGATAGTCAACAAAAGTTAAAACAATACCTGCATATTTTTGCAGTAATTTAATACCAAATATTGTGCCCAAGAATCCCACGACAACAACTTGTAGCTATATAAACAGAAAACTTATCTACGGTCCAACCAAGCCGTGCACTTGTAAATAGATATCCAATAGAGAGGTTCCCTTGAAAGGGAATTAAGAGCAATGTAAGACAAGCTACGCAGCTCCAGACCAATAATCTATCAAATCCATCTCTCTTCTTGACACAAGTGTTATAAAGATCCTTCACAAGCTCGAAATCAAATATGTCGCAAACACCCTGTCAAAAAATAATTCACATTATATATTGAGAGAACAATATTCATACGTATCAATTTTTTTTAAGTGAATTAAATATATGTATCTGTAATTTAAGACTCCTGGTTCTCGCCGACCTTGTTTTGCAGCTGTTGATTGATTATAATTGGAAAAAGATAGTTTTCGAGATATTTTTAAGAGTGTGCTAAAGCCATATGAAATGTTTCATCAAAATATCTTGCTATTTAAAAATGAATCATCAAAGAATTTTCAGCTTGTGCTTTCTAGTCTCTGATGTCATAATCTAACATGGCATGACAAGAATCCAGGAGTTTTAACTTGAATTTTGAAACTTACAGAAGTACGATTCTCTATGGTCTCTGGAATAAAAAGCAATATATACAATGTTGCTATAGTGCACAGCACAGTCGCAACACTAAACACAGTGGTGTATCCATATTCTTCATATATTATTGGACCAGAAAATAATCCAATTAGCAAACCAAGAGAAATTAATGCATCTAGCCAGGCCAAATGCCATGCCCGTTCATTATTATCAGTTATGTCAGTGATGTAGCAAATTGAAGCTAACATCAATACACTTATACCACCCAGGCAAGCCATAGGAATATAAGCTATCAAAAAATACCAAGGCACGATCTCCCAATTAGCCATGATAGAAAGCAGGAGATAAGTTAAAGATATACCTGAAAGAAAAAAAATGTTAAATAAATATAAGTTATTTTCTTTATGTGTATATACATATGTATCGAATCATGAATAGACTAGATTATATGCAAATACTTGTTACTTTTTGCATATTCTATGAGAACATTAATAATTATGAACAAATTATAATATTTTCATAATTAATATAAATTATTTTCATAATTTAAAAAGTCTAATCTAAGTCTAGTCATGAAAAATGTAAAGAGCTATGTCTAGAAATTCTTCATTAGAATCTTTTAATTTAGAAATTTTACAATATTATATAATATATAATTTGTATCATTCTTTTTGTGACCTATCTTTGTTTTCATAAACAATCATCATCCATCCATATTAAATTCCCAGCAAACACCGATATATAATTGTTACATTGCTATAATAAAACGGAATATAACAGGTAATATACCAAATAGCACATTGATGTATTGATAAGTCAGTGCTATCTTGGGATATAATGACAATATAACTACAATGTAATATATGTAATATTAAAAATGTTACATCTATGAGTGGGAAATTACAACTAACATATACGTTACATGTAACATGCTTGAGTATATAACATTTATATATTGTGTTTGCTGGGATTGATATGTAACGCTTTTAAAATCAATATAACTTTCTCTAGAATTTTACAACAATATTCAAAATGTAATTACCTATATATCCTGAAAGTATAACAGGTTTCCTTCCATACTTATCACTCCATGGTCCCAGAAACAGAGACAGAATCGAGGGAAAAATACTCTCAATAAGGGATTTACCCATCAAAACTAAACTTGCATGTGGTTGAACTTTTATATTCAAATTGAGTGCCTCCTTGCTGCTGCTATTATTGTGAAGTATCAGGCATTCTGTCTTGTTAATTTCCAAGGTAGTAAGGCACGTACGATACACTATCAGATCTGTCAAGATGGTACCTGTGAAAAGTATCATGTATATCAGCTATTTATGTTAAGAATGTATGGAAATACAATTCGGAGACAAAAGTACCAATGCTATTCATCTCAATTATAGAAAAAATCACTATAATTTAATTTCCTAACTTTCAACTGTTTCCAGACATAACCAAATGTTCAATAATCGGATGAAAAGCCAAAGTTGCAGCAAATTATTATTTTCTTCTAAATGGTTCAGTAAATATTAATATAATTTTGCAATATTGTTCTTTGCTATAAAGTTCAAATTATACATGTAAAAAATTTGAAATACATGATACCATTTTTTATATATCTTTAACATAATATAGTCAAATGTAGTAATGAATTTTCACAATATCCCAAATAGTAAACTGTCATTAAATGTCTAATAACGTTATTTTATGTCAAAATGACATGTATGCTTACTATTGTATTATTATTATTATATGAAATAATAATAAGATTATATATTTATATATAAAACTATTATTATATATAAAATTGGCAGAAATTTAAATTGCAGTAACTTTTAAATAAGCTAGTGAATTAAATCCAAATAGTTTAACAGTAACTTAATTAGTATCAAAGTGGGAACAATTTAATTATAATTTAATATAAATATTGTACCATTTTTAGATGTCTTCCATACATATGCTTAAAAGATTTATTACCTGACATTGACATAGCAACGATCAGTACCATGACAGGTGGTTGCACCAATGCGTAACGTTTCCATCCTGTACAAAAGAAATTATCCATCACTATTTCTCGTAATATTCGCAAGAAAAAATATAATATTGCTCTTTGTACAACAGAAAAATAAATCAATCGATGACTAGTGAACTCATCGAGCCAAGCAGTCGCTTTAATTAGGAACTCGCGATAAGCAAATACACGCTACATGTTTCTAGCTTAAAATCGCTTGTTTTCTTTGTTCAGCACACGTGCAGTACACGTAAACACTGATATATTTAGATTTGTATCCTTTCATAAGTGTGATATAATCATGTTGATTATTGAATAGTCATGATTCCACACACATATATATATATATACATGAGGAAAAGTTTTTCCTTCGTGTATAAACGATGATGATAGCGTGATTCACATCGCAATTATCTTAAATCGTTGATATACATTCACGTGGTTGTGTGTGTATATATATATATATATACATATATATTTTATGTTTCCTCGCGCGACATGCCTTCCGCGCAACTCTACGTAAAATGCCGCGTTTGACAGAAAACAGCTGATAATTGTCGACGCGCTTGCCCCCTCTTATAAAGCTCCGCCTATATATGTAGCCATAAATATAGAAATATGTGTGAGTGTGTGTGTGCGTGTGCGCATGCGCGCGCGCGCGCGTGTGTGTGTACCCAGGTAGCCACAGTAATTATTATGACATCATTTGATGTCAAAATGCATCATTTGCCATCAAAATGATACATTTTGACGTCAAAATAATGGCAAATGATGCATTTTGACATCAATAATGCCGATTTACTGGTAACAAATAAAGCGGACAATACTATGTGGTTATGAATGAATTGATTATCTCGATAAAATGTACATGGCGTTAGAAGACCACTTTATGTATAAAAAAATTAAAAAATATCCTATCCAACGTATATCCTCAAAGATTAATAATTTAGTTAAATCTCGGCGTGATAACGGATTGATTGATGATTTGACTTACAAACAATTGAATTATACTATATTGTACACTCGCGGAGCAAAAATTTGTTTGGCGCGCGCGAAGCGCGCGCTTGTGTCATCTAGTTAAATAAAAAATGAATGGGAATAAATGGAAAAATAATTTTTATTTATATGAACAATAAATGACATTGAATCAATAAAATTTTAGATTTGACCGATCACTGCGCAGGATCATTTTAATCTGAATTATTTTGATTCTGTCGGGAAAGCAGTATATATATATGATCATTATTCACTTTCAATATTCTCTGACACATTGCGAGTATCTATCAATAAAATAATCTGCCTAAATAATTAATGTGTGTATTATTGCTACACGGAAATCTGTGGATCGCATTCGCTATATTGTACTACATGTCGTTTCAATAATGTTGATGGGATTTTGCAAAAAATTAAATAAGATAATTAAACGTGGAAAAGATTTGATCTCGAAACTCAACAGAACGGAGGTTGTATATAAAATCGATTGTAAGAATTGTGCATCCTCATATATAGAGCAAACGAACATTTAAGCATTCGCTTAAATGAACATATAAAAAGAACATTAAATTGCATGAATCTAATTTTTCAGTAGTAAATAAACACAGGATTGAATTTGAACATGATTTTAAGTGGGACAATCCGATTAATTGTTTTGCACAACCAAAAACCAAAAAGAGTTTTTGAAAAATATACCAAAAAGAGAAAGATCGCGGAGATGTTCTATATATATATATATATATATATATATATATATATATATATATAAGTATAATAATACTCTGAACTCATAAATAATACACTTCGAGATTTTCGAGACTTCGATAAATAAATAACATGCCTTTTTTAGAAATATAGATCCCCATTCATATATATTTATTCAATACTAACTATTTCAATATATACGAGTAAATCATCAAAATATCTTAAAAATCACTTTGAGTAAAATTGAATTTGACATATATATTTTAGTGTTAAAAGAAGATATTAAAATATCGCAAAAAATTTGCTAACTTTTTGATTAAACCGTTCAACTAAATATTATGTTGTTAATTAAAGATATAACAATACTTAAATTAAATATATAACATATATTAAATCTAACAAATCTGCAAAACTCTATTTTGTGATTGAGATATATATATAGCTTCACTTTTGGGGTAAAATTTTCGGGACATACGTCACTGAACTTTTATACACGTTTATTTGTTTTTAACAGCGCCATTTATTCCGTCTTGTTACTTCTTGCTTCACAATCGCACGTGTCGTGCGTCTGACGTGTGTTTTGTGTTTTCCAAAAATCTAATGGAAAAAATGGCATACACCACATCGGAATACACCGATATGATTATGTTCGGATCAGCCCGGAAAGATGCTCGAGTCGCGGCTCGACTTTACGCGGAACAATTTCCCAAACGGGATCGGCATCCCGATCATCAAACAATTTTAGGGTGCGTACAACACGTCAAAAAATTTGGAAATGTTTTTATTCCTGATCGGCGAAACGCTCAAGAGGAAGGATTTCTACGGAACGGCGGGTTGCATCGCTATCAAAGAGTGCAACGACAGCTTTTGCCGAGAGACCAAGAGCAGAGAATCTATTTTTGCGAAGGTACTTTTATTATCTTTAATGTTCTCACCCTGTTTTTTTAATATTAATATTAATATAATTATTTTAATATTAATCGCAAAGAACATTCGCGTATGACTCGACTTAGGCCTTTCTTATTTGTAGTTATCATTTAATAATTATTTTAATTATTTTATTTTAATTATTAATTTTTTAATTAATTATTTCAATATTAATTTAATTATTGCCAGTTTGGTCGACTTTTATCATTGAATTTTGAATTATTAGTTATTATTACTGGCGACTTTTTACAGTTCATTATTTATTTTAATATCGCAATAAAATATTTTTAATATTGATAATAATAATTATTAATAAATAAAAATATTTTAATGTTGATAATATTAATAATTTAATACTAATAATTTTTAATATTAAAACACAGGATTTCTCGCACAATGTCGGCGAAATAATTTCTTCCCCGATAAGATCTTGTGGACTGATGTAGCGAAGTTCACATCGAATAATAGTCGACATCGCTGGACGATACATGTATGGGCAGGAATAATAGGGAATCGAATTGTGAGTAAAAGATTTACTTAATATAAGGGTCCGCCAAAAGTACCGGGACCCCTAAATATTTCGAAAATTAAGCATTAAAAAAATGAAACTTATAGAGCTCAAAATAAGGCATATTTGATGGTGACCTTGACTTTGACCTCGGGTCAAATTTAAAGGTCATTTCAAGGTCAACTTAATTATTTTAAATGAAACCCCCCCATTTTTCATTGCAAATTCTTGTAGCTTATTGTCTCGAGAGGATTCCAAACAAAGCGATGTATATCTAAGTTATAAAGTTTTTATTCGCAGCTTTAATAATAAATAATTCTTTCTTGGCGATTTTCAGATCGGGCCTCATTTCTTACCACCCCCTCAAAATAAAAAGGTCTACATCAATTTTCTACGCGATGAATTACCTGCTCTCCTCGAAGATGTTCCACTCCAAGTAAGAATGGACCTCATTTTGCAGCACGACAGGCTTCCCGCGCATTCTTCTCGTCAGGTACGAGAATTTTTGAACGAGCGCTATCCGGACCGATGGATTGGTCGAGATGGCCCGATCATCTGGCCGGCGCGATCGCCGGACCTTAACGTGCTCGACTATTTCTTATGGGATCATCTCGAAGATTTAGTCGAGCACGGGCGCGATGGTACCAAAGCTGAGATGCAAGAAGCGATTCTCGCAGCTTTTGATACCATCGCGCCGGAAATGGTACATCGAGCGATCCGCAATATCATTCGACGGGCCGAACTGTGCTTGAAAGAAAGAGGAAGATATTTTGAACAGCTTTTGTATAAAAATATATGAGAGTGGATTAGACCCACTGGGGATACCACTATAAAAAAAAAAATGCGCCATGCTATCTACCGCAAGGTGGTGTGGAAACGATGGCATATATGAAAAAATTGCAATAATAGACTCCCATAAAATATTTATTCATAAAGAATTTCTTAATTTTATTTTTATTTTATAGTATTTTTTACATTATTTATTTTATTATCTTCCTATCACAGTTTTTAGTACAATCAAAATCTGTTTTAAAACAAATAAAAGCGTGAAAGATAAATCACCGAATTAAATATCAATTAATAATTATCAAAATTCTGAACTATATATTAACGTGTATAAAAATATATTTTATATAAATAATAATAAATTTACCCTTAGGGTTCTCCATTTGTTTCCCTGCTCATATATGCCGAGTTTGACAATTTTTTATATAGGAGTAAAAAATAATAAACACACGCATAGATGCTAGCATAAAAATATGAGTATTTATGTGATGTATTAACAATATACAGAGAGTTTATAAGTACAAACGCCGAGATATTTCATTTATATCTAATCCCACTCTCCAATATACATAGCACGCGGTGTTGGAGGTATTACGCCTCTCGTCGGGATCGGTAACCTTCCGTATATGTGATTATACGGTGACTCGTTCCTATTGTCCGAATCTGAAAGTGTAGTAGCAATTATTGCCAAGAAATGTCATCACAAAGCAACCTAATCTAAAGCGATATTTAATATACACATATATAGAATATACATATATTATATTATATATAAATATAACATTATCATAATATAATTAATATATAATATTATAATTATAATTATTATAAATTCTAATTATATATATATATTATATATATTGTAATAATTATTAATTTATAATAATTATAATTATTATTTTATTATATAAATTTAATTTATATAAAATATATTTATACATTATTATAATATATAGTATAATAAAATAATATATAATACAATTTTAATATACAATATTAATATTTTTACAAACACATCTTAAAAAAGATATATAAAATCCACATGATAATAAAATAAAATCTCTTACAAGTACACACAGTTGTACACAATAAAACGGAAGTTTGCTACTTTAATTTATAATTTCTAGAATGTAAACATAATGCAGCGAATATGATTATGGGTCAATTATTCGCCTTACCAAGTCCGCTTTCGAAACTTCTTGCATGATACATAATGGGTGGTCGATGGGCGGGCAAATGCCCGTATATCTGAGAAGATTGACTACTAGCGTATGCAGTTCCCGCGTAAGACGGAGCCGGCTGTGTCCTGGAGTGTCCTCGAGGAGGCAGAGGACCTATCTTACTGTGACCGTTCCTCGCCATTTTAACGAAATTGGGCACACGAGCTCGTAAACCACAATAATATGGGTCATCTGAAAATTATATTGGCCGCAATTTATATTACGTGATGAAATTTAAGAAATTAAATGCATATTAGAGATCAGATTCATGGTAATATAATCAATATTATTTTTTAAAGACAAATGTTTTTTCCAGGAAAAACTTATAGATTTTACGTATAATTTCTATAGATGAAATTTTATAATATAAAATATAAATATAAAATATAAATATAAGATATAACATAAAAAAAATATATATCCTATAAAATATATTTTATAAAATATATTTTATAGGATATATATATATATATATACAGGTTCCACATAAAATGTTACAAGCTATTTTCTTTACTACTGTTAGAGATAATATTAACTTGAAAAAATATATACATATTTAAATATAAATTTAAAATATATATTAATAATATATATTCAATTAAATATATATTAAACATTTAATATATATTTAAATGTATCTTTCGTATATTTAAATACATATTATAAACATGTACCAAGCATTATTTCTCACCGTATTTTTTCCTGTCGTCGTGTTTACTTCGCTTCTCCTCGTTCATAGGGTGCTTCATCGCTCTGGTATAGTCATCTTCTATATCGTCGTAATCAGGCTACAATAATCACAGAAAGATATACTTTTTTTCAATTTGTATGCTATTTTTCAATATATAACGACATAGTAATAACTTTAACATTTCTTTTATTTAATTTTTACATTCTTACATTCATTTTTAATAATTTAAAAAAATTTGTTTACATTTAAAAAAAATGTTTAATAACATAAAAATTAAAAAAATGGTTAATAATTTACCTTCGGGATACCGTGGCCGTAGAGATTTTCTCGAGGGGGCAACTTCGGCGGTCTCTCGGCGCGTCGATGTTGATAGCTCGTCGATTGCATATAGATTTGCTCTCGCGACTCTCTGTCATGCGGCATTAATTCGCTAGGTCCTACGGACGACGACACGCCGGCCACGCTATAAGGATCTTCGTCGGGGATTGGTATTCTAGGTCTATTCTTTATATCTACCGGCCTTTGTAGTGCTAAAACTAAAATGTAACAAATAATTCAATAAATATAATATATATAATAAAATAATAATAATAATAATTAATACAACAAATAATAAAATATAACAAATAATTATAATAATCTAAATTTCTGACAATAAAATATAAATGATAAAAAAATTTCTGACAATCCTCTGTTTTTCCAGGAAATAGACTTCCTCATATATATTTTACATTTAATGTATGTCGTGCATGCTTTCTCACCTGGCGGCAGCTTCGACTTGAGCATATCCAGTCCGACCACGTTGACGATGAGTACCCATACGGGACATTGAAGTAAATCCATCTCCGTTCTTACAAATATAATGGCGCTCAGGCACTGCATCTCCAATCGCCGTCTGTCCGGATAAGCCCTTCGCGTTTCCCGCGATAGATTCGTTTGGAATTTATTCATGTCGAACAGCTGAAACGAGAAATAATGACGTCACCTAGTGTTTCACAATATTAAGGGGTAAGCGCAGTTGCGTCCCTTTTATGGCATTAATATTTTAGTAGAAGTAGGAAGAGAGATTAAAACAAACAGAAAGGTATTTATTATTATCTATTAAAAAATGAACGAAAGAATAAAGATTCTTATTATAATTATAGATTTTTCAAAAACCAAAGCTTCCGTCGAAAAATGTTTCGTATACAAAAGTTGTTTTGAGGGAGATTCTAAGTGGATATTTTTAAGATTTCAAGTAAAAAATTGCTAAAGTGGGATAGTCGAAAAATTCATGGTTCACAAGATATTTTATGTTTTATTCTGACAAAAACTATGAAATATCTCGTAATATATTAATTTTTCAATAATCTTCCCTTAATAATTTTCTATATAGCACAATGAGATAAATTAATCAATTGGTGAAAAACATATTCTTATAATTAAAAAAATTGCAACTATATACTTCTTTTTAAAAATAATTATTTCTTTTACGAGAAATCGATTTATATAAGAAAATTATGGTGGTTTCGTTTAAAAAAGTAATAATAATTTCAAAATTTTAAATTCTCTAAATCTTATAAGTTTACGTATGAAGAATTTTTCGAAGCTTTGATTTTGGAGAAATCTCAATGCGAAAGTAAAATAGGATATTCCATACATATAAGGAAGAATGATTGTTTGCTTTGGATAGTGCTAAGCAGTGGAACTTTTCGCTCTCCTTTCGTACCAAGTATGTGTGGTATATAATTTCCTGACGCTAAAGAGATTTAAACGCCTCTTATTATACGCTTCGGTTGCTCGAGGTTTGCAATTTTAATTAGAAAGGCGATAGTTTCTCTATCAACGTGCACTCGCACAAATATTTATGATAAAACCAACACCAAGGCCGAGTGTTGTACAAGGAAAATGCTTCTTATTTATTATTTCTTTTTCTTTTTTTTTAATTGAGAGAAGTAGGCAGGCAGAGTTAAAACCCCACCTTGCGCGCAAGATTGACCCATTTCGATTGCTTTCGCCGATAAATATTTCACGAAGGAAATCCAACACACACACACACATGAACAGATGGTTCAAAAACCGTGAAATTCATTAAGTCTCTCCCGCACCTTTCCGGGTTTTTCGTGTTCGAGCGCGCCCTGCGAATTACGTATGATCTCCGGACCGATTGCGTTGTCCTCTTGATTCGTCGACTTGACGTACACGTTGTTCTTACATAATCTCTTGATGAGTATGTTGCCCTGCTCGTCCATCTTTATTTTGACTCCCTGATTTATGTGACGTTTCGCCTCCTCCGTTTTCGGATCCCGCATAGGATTGTCAAATCCGCAAAGTCCTATCCTATAAATATCAAAATAATCTAATGTTATATCTATATTAAATTAAAATTAAATTAATAATATATAATTATTTTATTATATATTAATATATTATAATAATATATATTTTTAATATATTATAGTATATTAATATTGATAATATATATTATATAAGTAATATATACAATAATATGTATTCAATAATATATAATTTAATATATATTAATAATTATATTATTAATAAATTAAAATTAAATATTATATCTATATCAAATTATTTTATATTTAATATATTTAATATGTAATTTAAATTAATATATACCGGAAGAATAATCTGTACGATTTTAAATATACATTTTTTAACATATGTATCGCGTTCGATGTGTTGCTTTATCTTTATGCAAAAAAAAAAATTAATAGTAGAAAGTATTTACATCAACTATTCATGAACTTTGCGAAATTCCGCAATTTAAAATAGACTGGTAAAAATGTCTGACTTTCGAGAAACACTTTCGAAGTGCATATACTTATTTTACGAAATGATATAAAATTTTAAAAAATGACTTTGTTTTCTTTTTTTTTTTTAATTATATTGCATTACCTAAATCCATCGAATCCGTCATTCGAGCCATTTATCGTGAGAACAGGTGCTCTGGCATACGCTTTCGCAACACGTCTATTTCTCTCGAAGACGATGACTTTCGCCCAAATTTCGTCATCTATTTGATTCCATTTATCTAAGACCTCCTGTATATGATCCTACGAATATAAAAGGTCGTAGTTAATCAACCAATTCATTATTATTTAGCGAACCTCTCGTCGCTAAGCATGATTTTATTCCCATATGATTATTTTAATCTATTTGCTTTAAATAAAAACTTATACAGATTAGGATTAAATAAGTTAATGATTTTTTTAAACCAAGTTAAATTAAAGTTAGTTGCTTATAAAATTAATTTAGTTGAGTTAAGATTAAATTAACTAAAATTAAATCAAAAGTTAATTTTTAAAAATATTATTTATATTAAATTAGAATTTTGTTTGTTAATTCCTTTAAAATTTATAATATCAAATAAGAAAGAAATTTTTATTTTTATATAGAAATAATTTTTTGGTAATTACAATTGATGACAAATGAACATAAAAGTTAATATATATAATACTTTAATTTAAAAATGATACGTTTATAACTTATTATAAAAAAAACCAATAATAGTATTCGGAGATAAAAAATTTAACTTAGGAAAAAATGAATAAGTTTAAGGTCAAAAATAGTTAAAAATTAATACATTGTAAATTAACTAAGCTAATTGTAAGTTAAAAGTTATTAATTTTTTAACTTTTTCTTTAACTTTTAGCTAATTAACTCTGATAATTATATATGTATAGATTGAAAATTCACCTTGTACAATTTATCCAAATTATACCATACATCCTCTTCGTCTTGTTCCTCGTATTGCGATTCCACGAGATTATCCCGCGAGCGCGAAAGTATCTTCCGCCTCGATACCATTTTGTGACCTGGTATTCAATCTGAAAGCAGACATGAAGAGAAAACAATCTTTATCATGATTTTTTTCAAACGTTTATCGTCGAAGAAAATTTCTACTCTAATTTAGTAGAAATTTTCAAAAGAAAAGAATCTCGACGTATGGCTGAATAATAAGAATCATATGTAGATAATTATATCTATTATACATATCAAAGTTGCCATTATTTTTGTGAAAGCACACAAATAAATCTCTTCCTCTCACTTGCACAATATACATACATATATGGGGCTATTCTGATTTAAAAATAAGTATTAATCACAAATTAATAGACACTCATTTCAAAGTTTTAAAAAGTCAGGGAGAAAGAAAATTCCAATACTTTTAATTTTTTTAAATATTGGAATTTTCTTCTCTCCTGGCTTTTAAATATTTATTTTTTAATCGGAATAGTGTAAAATTCCAAAGAGAGGATTATTGAAAAAATGTTTTAAAAATAGTCTTAAAAAATCGAAAATATTTGAATTCCCTCTTCGTTAGTGGCTCAAAAATTTTGTTTTCAATATTTTTTTCTGAAAAATACGTTTAAAGACGAAAAATGACAACTATTTTAATGATATTTTTATTTTTTTCAAGTTATAGATTTTCGAAATCAATTTTCTTTTTATAACTTGAAAATCAAGAGAGATAAAAATCTAAAATTAATTCATAAAAGCAACTTTCAATAGATACAAAAACATAAAAAAAATGAAACAAATAAAAAATGATCAAGGAAAAGGATCATTGATTTGATATGGAATGCTTCATAATATAAAATGAGGTTTTTCTTAACAGAAAAATATTTAAAAAATAAATGCAATTTTACAAAAAAAAAAGTTTCTAATAAAGATCAAACCAAGGTCACCATTGTACGCCCCCCTCTAAGATTATATAAAGTTTTTGAAATATATATTTATTTTTATTTTTATATATTTACATATTTATTTTTTATATATTTAAAAAGTGTTTTCATAAAATTGTATATTTTCGAAATATTCGTCTGTATATACAGGGTGTCCCATTCAAAATTTCGGATTGAAATTTCTCGGGAACCAAGGTTCCCATCAAAAAATGTTTTATACAAAAGTTTTATATATGCACATATATATAAAGAGAGAATTTTGAATCATGAAGGAAGGAAAGAAGGACATTACTATTCGACAAGTACACTTCGTTCTTTCTCGTTATTCGCGACATCGCGTCTCTCATAATTTTCTCATTTTTCTCGCGAATATTCCGCAGAGGAATGCGTAGAAACGTTTTAAAACTAAAAAGGACACTCATCGGATGTCCTGAGCAAGCTTGAAAATTCAACACGCGAAGTTTCTGCTATATTCCGACTCATTCTCGCCGCATGAATAGCGCAAAGGACGATATCCTTCGAGTTCCCGCGAGGGTGAAAAAAAATGGCCGACGCGATTTACGGGACATATTTGCGCGGTTTCGCTCATAACGTAATCCGCGGCACGCACATGACAGTGGGCGGGAACTTAAATCCGGCTTCGCGACGTGACGTGATGTCATTTCAGCTGAGTCTCCTCGCAGAATCGCAGAAAATACACGCGCCATTTCACTATTTTCTCCGCCGTGTACATTCTTCCGCAACGGACATCCTATATTTTATCGCGGTATTTATACAATATATATTTCGAAAAGGAAAAAATAATTTTCTCAAGTCACATATATTACATGCAAACACACATGGTGCGTCATTCTTGCACATTATTGTAAAAATTACATCGTCTATATCATTTAGCCTTGCATTTAAATATATAATATAAAATATATATCTTATATATATTTTCATATATTTATTTTTTATATAATATTCATTTATTTTATTTAAATATATTTTTATAATATATATTTAATATATTTCATAATATTTATGAAATATTTTTAGATTATTATTTTATATCTAATATATTATTAAGTATATATTATATATAATATGTACCCCAAGTATAGCAAACTGACGTCATTAAATGTCGTATGGCTGTAGGATATTCCATATAATATAATAATATATTATTATATATACAAATATATATATAATTACATTATATAAATAATATATTTAATATATATTATAAGAATTTATAATATATAATATATTAATTATATAATATATATAATATATAAAATTTATATTTTTCTATATTTGCGATAAAAATCGGTATCGCTATAATCAACGTCTATATAGACGGTGTCAAGAATTGTTTCGAATCTTGATTGACGGTTAATTGTTCCCGCGAAAAGAATTCGCGCTTGTATATCGACATTTTTTATTTGGCAAGACATTGCAAAATCTCGACGATTTTGACATTCGCGATTTTCAAGCAATAATCAAGAGAACGGTGCACGACTTACGAAACCGCGCTATATGCGCGCGCGTTTTCTTCGTTCTAATTAATATCGGAAATTGTATCGCCGTAAACTCTCCCGCTCGGAAAAACTCGAGGAAACGCGAGCGCGCTTGCCACTCCCTCGAATGCAAAAAACAAAATTACGCGAAAGCGGACAAATTAGATTCAGCGGAGCGATAGCACCGCAGGTGGAGCGCGGCAACGCTTGATTTACCGCGAACTTCGTGAAAGTGTTGTTATTAAACGCATCGGTATCGCCTGGCTCTACTACGACTTGGCATCCGAATTGGCTTTCACGCGCGGCTACTCTTTCGCGCGGAATGTTCTATATTTTATAGCTGTAGGTATATCGATGAGGAAAAAAAATGGACGGCAAGTTGTTTTCGAGAGAGATATTCGTCAGTATAACATTTTTCATTTTTTAGTATATATATATATATGTACATGTTTTAAACTGTATTTTTATTTTCTTTTTCAATTTCTAAACTCTAGAAAGCTAAATATATACACATACGATATAGTTAAATAATAGTTTTTGTACAAATATATATAATTACATTATATAAATAATATATTTAATATATATTATAAGAATTTTTTTCAATTACAACAAAAATATATTTTTTTTTCAATATGCAATTGCAAATAAGCTTTTTGATTTAATTTAGATTTTAATCAAAAAAAATATTTTTTACAAAAACTATATATATATATATATATATATATATATATATATTGTATGCATAAAAAAATTTTTAAATTAAAATCTATATACCTATACAATTTTGTAAAAAATATTTGTTTTATTATACATATATACAGGATGACCCAGAATTAACGAATCACTTGTCAATGGAAGATTTCTCAGGTTATTTGCAGACGATTTTTCCTTAGCAAAAATGTCGAGGCATCAATATAATTTTCGAGTTATAAGCAATTAAAAAAATAAAAGGTTTTTGCACAAACTTAAAATATTAACAAAATCATATTTTTCAATTAATTTTAAGTAGAGTTTATTTTAATAGAATTTTAATTTAAGGCTTATAATTAATTATAAAGGTACATGATGGCAAATATTAGGAATATGCAAAAAATGATGGCTTCTCTCAATATTTTCGCTCAGAAAAAATCATCTCCCAGGAATCTACCATTAACAGGTGGTCTGCTAATTTTTATATAAAGTAATTTCTTTTAGAGAGTTTGGTGCGTAACTTCCCCCAGGTAGTAAACTAACGTCATTAAACGTCAAAATGACATCATTTTCGTTTAATGACGTCCGAAGTTCATTTTTTAAATATTTTAGATTCTTATTTTTTTATATATCATGTGGATATTATTAGACAAATTAGTCTAATATATAAAAAAATAAGAACTTAAAATATTGAAAAAATGAGCTCTTCGATTTTGATACATTTTACGTAAATGACTCTTCGTCTTCTTTACAATAAAGAATAATAATGATGAAGAGTAACTCAACTATACTTCGCGTTGCACATATCAGTTCCAGATATACCACGGATTATTCCCGACATATTCGCGACAATGAAACGATCGAGACTGTCTCACCCCGGGTCCCGACACGTTGACTCCTCCTGATGTAAGTCAAACCGTGTACCGCTATTTAATCGTTACTTGGAAGCGTTCAACGCGAAACAGAGCCTCGTATGGTTCGAGGTGCGACCGAGGTACCGTAATATCGTTTAAGTAGTTGCTGCACGCGTCGATGTCTCCGTGATCGAATCCCCGAAAGCGCCTCTGTGTCGCGAGATCGAAATTCCGATCACCTGGCTCACAACACGAACCTGTGGAATTTCACGCGTCAAGGTTGACGATCGCTCGATGGTCTCATCGGGAAAGGACGCGTGACAAAAAATCGGCAGAAGAAGGAACAAAAAAGAAACGTCAACGCGCGAAATAAAGTGGCAGAGGAGAAGTGTTAATCGTCAGATTTGTAAGAAGTTGCACTTGGATTATATTATTAACGGTATAAGAACTTTCCCCTTTCCTGCTTTCTGATGATTTTGATTTTAAAATCAGGCTAATTAATTCGACTTCGGCTAACAAGCTAGTCGACGCAAGAGAGTTTGAACGATAATTTAGGAAATAAAAGGAAGATAAATCTTCTCCTTGGATATTAACATTTTAGCAAATCTTTTCGCTTTTAGCGAGTCTTCTAACGAATACATACATAAAATATTCATTTAAAATTATATATGTATCTTGAAATTTAGAGAGAGAGAGTAGAAATGATGATCCGTCTATTCTAGGCGAATTGAGGTCTTAATTATCGGACAAAACTCGGATAATCGCTAGAAAGAGAGAGAGAGAGAGAGAGAGAGAGAGAGAGAGAGAGAGAGAGAGAGAGAGAGAGAGAGAGAGAGAGAGAGTACCAGAATTGTAAAAGGTAGTACAGCATTTCTTGCAGCAATATCGAAGATAAGAAGAAATAATTGGCGTAATGATGCAACATTTACGTAACAACCGAACGTTCTTCACGACGGCGACGGCGAAAGAAACTCCCCCTCTTCGAATTTACGAAAGAGAGTATAAGAGATGTGTTCTCCCTTACATACTCGGGGAAAAAGAATTGAAGGTATACCTATATTTCCGGACAGAGAAAGAGAGAGAGAGAGAGAAAGAATAGAACCCAAATGAAATCTCTCTGACTCACGAGCAGCGCTTTTCTATTCTCCTTCGACGATGATTTCGCAACGTTCTCCACGTAGTAGGTGCCTCATGACGCCTGTCCATTATCTCACCGCGGGGCACAGAATTGCGCCCGAGCTCGCCATCTGCTTCTCGCGCTTATGCACACACACGTAGATATATACACGTCTCCTTAGGGCAAGGATTTCATAACAAGCCCGATTAGTATGCTTCGGGTGAACCCGATAAAAGGAAGAGAAAGGGGTCTCTTCCCCCGAGATTAAGATTTCCTCTACTATATAGTGTGGTATCACTGTATGCAACTAAGGCGAAAGAAACGTCACACGACCGATTCTTGCCTTGTGGCGAACGAACGCCCAGCCGCCACCAGAATTTCCCTGAAACTGCTTTCACTTCTCCGAAGAATGCGAAGGCTGTTGTGTACGAGCGGCGGCGGCGGCGTCTAGCATGGCCTGGCTGCGGAGTGTAACACCGAGAGAGACCCCCACCTTTGATACGAGAGATCGGCGGTGTGGCTCACTCTCTCGACGTAGTATAGGTTTATGTATATACTCGTACGAGATACACACATACCTAACATTCGCACGCTCTTTCTCCCCTTTTTGTCTTTTTTCTCGAATATTTTATACGTGTCTCTCTCATTCTCTCGTTTCTCTTCACTCTTCGGTTTCTATCTTCTACGCGTCCCTCTGTCTTTGTTGCAGACAGCATGAGGTCTATTCTCTTTCTAGAGAGGCTTTTCTTCTACCAATCCTTAAGGGATTCTCTTGTTTCTTCATTTCTTCAGTTTTCTTCATTCTTTTTGCAAGCTGTTGTCTTCACGTCATCTCTTCATCTCCCTGTTGCGAATTTTTGCACTCTTTTTATGATAATTTCCTTGCTTTTTAATCACGATTCCTTTCGCTTTTCACTACACTGTCTTCATATATCTCTTCGTCTTTATTGCACACTATATTCTTCACTAATATAAATTATATCTCCTTCATTCGTCTATCACACTTCCTCGTTTATAGCTTCGGTCTTTATGTATCTATTAATTTTCTATCACCTATGGGCGACACGCTTTCTCTGCCCCCGCTATTTAACATCTGGTTAAAGCCTAGTTTCCTTAATCGTCTCTTTTGCCTAACGTGTCTTATCTTTTTCAGATCCCTTCTCCAATCGCGAAAACAAATGGAGTCCTTTGTCACTTTAATTCGCTCACACACCCACCCTGTTATTTTCCTCTTTCTTTGATAATTTCCAGATTCGTCTCTCTCTCTCCTCTCTTCCATTCGCCATTCCACCACGCACTGCCTACTCCTCGTTCGCACATTTGCTCATTCTCTTTTTCTCTCTCTTGCTCATGCCCGTATCGCTTTCGCGCTCCTTTCTCTTTCTCTCTCTCCCTCCTCGCTCTTTCGCAAAGTCTCAGTCAACTCGCCAAGTGACTTCGATGAGTGCAACAGCGAGATTTCAAGCGGTGGAAGGGAACTGGTTATACTCGGCCCCGGCGCGGTCAAGCATTTACGCACACACACCCTTTTGCAGGGATAACCCCGCGATGCGACGGAGCCCATCGCGAGATACTCTTTTACGCATTAAAAAAATTGCAATTTGAGCAAAAGCGCGCGATTTGGCAATTATCAGGATCAAAAACGTGAGGATGATCTATATATTCACGATTTATCGCCCATAAATCTGCGAGCCAATAGGATTCTCAATATTACTATTTAATTTGTGTATATATAGTGATAAACTGATCGGAATTAGACTTATCAATAAAGGAGATTATTTGTTTCCTTTCACCGTCCTACAGTGAAAAGCAACACACCCGATCATCCGTGACTATAATACTTTCTTGCGAGACTTTCTGACTTGGGGGAAAACCCATGAAATCATTCATTCGTATATAATGAGATTCTTTTGCTGTTTTTAATTGTATGTTGATGAACGACGAATAGTTTCTAATATATTCATGATCATGATCGATCACGAAGTTTTTAAATGATGATAAAATCCTTCCCAATTTTCTATCTGATGTCTATCTACAAATGATATTTTTTGGAAATATTTGTCTATGTAAACATTTCTAATAACATTGTAAAGAAAAAAGAAATTCTCTGCTTTAATATAGATTCGATTAAATTGAAATTATAATTAATAGCCCATTTCCTGTTGAATATAAAATTCTAACATCTATAAACTGAAAATATATTTTAATATGCGAGAGGGAACTTTTGATGATCCTAACGTCATTAATCAGGTCTCGAAGCGGTTTAAAATCCTGCATTAAACTCTTTATCGTCTCTTGATCGTCCAGAAATTTGAATTGGACGATCCGATAAAAAACGAGCGGACGCACGTTCGCCGAGTCGTTTCCTTGGCCTATATAGTCAGCCGGGGCCGAACGAGAAAAGAAATTGCAAGCATGGTCCGTGGTGCTGCCGTCGAACGGGGTAAACATCCAGCGACCGAGGGATACGTCGAGCGTGAAGGCGGGTTCACAGCCGCGTTTATAGCTAGCGTGTTTCTTCGGCGCGGCTTCGATAGAAAGCAAGGAATCCGCGGAAGCGAGCGGGCGAACTCAACTTGCGCGAAAGTCAATCTCGCAATCATCGACGTGGCGCGACGCAAAACTCGAAATCGGTATACTAATATCGGCGAGATAAATTTCAAGTATTAAGTCCTATTAGACTAAACATTGAAGATTGAAGGTTAAAGATTTAGAAGGTGACAATTCAGAACTGTTTGATACGAATTTGTCCCATAATAAAAAGTACAAGCAATAGAAAATGTTATTCTCTGCTGCTATTCCCTTATTAGTAGATATTTTCTATTTCTTGTTCCTATTGAGTAGATATACTATTCTATCAATAGGAGCAAAAAATAAATATCTATTGGTGGAGTAGATATTATTATTCTTTGCCCCAATTGATGGATATTTCCTATTTGCTGCTCCTATTGTCTATACTTTTATATTGCGCGATAGGTCTTATTCAGGTACTTTCAATCCGCTTTTAATTCCTCTGTGTTGTAGTAATGGTAATAGTATGATTATAGTGAGTGATACTATTGCAATCCCCTTCAAGACACCTAAATCATGGTGATCCATTGTATCTTCTTACTCTTGTAGTTAGCTGGATGTTTGAGCCAGCCTAGAACCTGGCATCAGACTTATTAAATATCCATGCGTGATATAACTATACGGGAAAAAAAATTCGAAGCACATTTTATCGCGTTTTGCTCACTCGTGGATATATATAAGATATGATCATTATTGGTTCCATCTAAAACGCGTGACCTCAGCGAAATTATACCGGTTTCGCTCTCCGCCTATATCCATTTTCGCCTCGGGATTCCTCCATGATCGGATCTATTTTTATGCCACTCGAAAATATTAAAACATACAACATATACCATTTTATAAATTTGATTGTTTTTCTCTGTTCCGTTTTTTTTCTTCTATCGACGAAATTAAGAGATATCAGGATATCATTAAAATTACATTGGTAATTAAATTCTAGCTGATATTTACCAGCTAAAGTCTACATCTTACAAGAGCTATTAGGTCTGGAATATCAATAAAATTAAACTTAATGTCTCGAAGTGTGCGACGTATTAGAATTTAATTTAGGATCAATGATCGTCGCCCAGAGCTCTCTCTCCCCCTCGAGCGGCACGATTACCGAAAGAGAAAAGGCGAACAACAAGAAACGCGGCGGGAAAAGGGGGGGATGTTACGACATCGCATCGCGAAACGCTATACGCTCTCGCACGAAAACGATACTACCGGCAGAAATTTCGCGGCTCGCGCTCGCGAAAAGTTAGCGAGGCCGCTTTCCCGACCGACAAGCTCGGCACTCGTAACAAATTGCGAGGAAAGAGAGAGAGAGAGAAACCAACCTTCAAACGCAGCGTGTGTCGAATCCAAAGGGTTTGTTCTCCATTATTGCATTGATAGATTGGTGAACAATTGTTTAGGTTTGTTTATTGGATTTATTCTTTATTGCTGCACTGGTGAACTAGTGTACTCTGGTACAATAAGTTAAGGTAAGACAAATATATTCTGACTCTAACTTACTGCATTAGTTCACCTGTGTAGCAATAAAAAACAAACCGAAAATACAAACCCAAACAATCGTTCACTAGTCCATCAAAGGGTTTGTTCTCCATTGCTACATTGATGAACTAGTGAACGATTATTTAGATTTGTTCTTTATTACTGCACTGGTGAACAAGTGCACACTGGTGCAATAAGTTAAAGCAAGATAAATATATTCTGTTTCACTCTAACTTATTGCACTAGTTCATCAGTGCAGCAATGAAGAACGAACCCTTTATTGCTGCACTGGTGACTTATTGTACTAGTGTGCACTAGTGAACTGCGCTGGTTCAACAAGTTAAAGTAAGACAAATATATTTTGTTTCATTCTAACTTACTGCATACAGTGTGCACTAGTTCACCAGTGCAGCCATGAAGAACTTTTTATCCCATGTAAAAAGAAAGAAGAAAAAACGTAATACAAAGTTGTTAAAGGTCTTTGAACAGAGACTTTGTCTTCGGGCGACTTCTGGTTCAATAGATGATGACTTCGCGAACTGTATCAAGCCCGTTCAGGCAGCGCGCGAACAAAACTCACTTTCACGTCTGCTCGCTCGCTCCCTCGGTTCTCCTTCTTCGCGTCTTTTTACTAGGAATGTAAGTAAATGTCGCACATTCGCTCGCGGCGAGTTCGATGATGTTCACTGTCACCGAGAAATGGTACTTTTATCATTCATCCTATTTTTACGTGATATATAATTTGTCCACATTTGTATTTATATATATATACAGGGTGTCCCATTTTAACTTTTGAGATTTCTCGAAAACCAAGGCTTCCGTCGAAAAATATTCCGTACAAAAGTTAGAGGACTTTGAAGGAGACTTGTCATAGCATCGTCTTTTTTAAGATTTCGAAAAAATAATTATTTTTTTAAACAAAACCACCATAATTTTCTTCCATAAATCGATTCCTCGTAACATTTAGCATAAAAAATTGTTAAAGTGAAATAATGAAATAAAAATAAATTTGTGAGATTTTATATTTTATTCCATATAATCTTATCTCAATAATTTTAATCTGTCAGGATGAAGCATCTCGTAAACCATTTATTTCTCGATCATTCTAAACATTATGAGAAATCGATTTATGTAAGAAAATTATATGTAATTCCATTTAAAAAAAAATAATGACGTCAAAATATAAAAAATATCTCAAAGTCTCCACATGAATATATAAAGACATGAAAGTCGTAGTTTTCGAAAAATCTCAATGCAAAAGTTAAAATGGAAGACACCCTGTACACATATCTCACATTCCCAATAATTTAATACTTATTTTCGATCTTCGCGGAAATCGCGATCGCATTCCACTTGAAAGGGAGGAGGGAGGGAAGGAGCTACCACCCCCGCGTTGCATAGCGAGGTCGCCGCGTCCCCGTCAGAGAACTCCCTTTCTCTCTCTCTGCTGTCAGTCGCCATATGTTTGCTCACGTTTCCCATAAATTTACCTCTATACATACCTCTTGGATGTCACAAGCACCTGGTGAACCTGGCACGTGGGGGTTGTCTTCGTCTTCTTCTTCCAATATATATATATATATATATGGTTCACAAATAAAAACTCGAGGTAAGACACGCACTCGCGCTGCTCGTCACCGCGACTCTCTCCTATCCATAATCGGCGAAAGTCGCGGTGGTCAACTGTACGGTGTATCTGTCAACTCTCGGTCCGAAATAATAAAATTCGACACTCGGACACTATCATCGGCGACACTTTCGACGATGATGATCTTCGAAGACGACTGCGCGCATCCGTTGACAGCTGAACCTGCGATAAAGAATGAGATCCTCTTCGCGGGAACGTTTGCCGTTCACTGCTGGACCGTCGCGGCCGGACCTTGCCTGGTACCGCGGCGAGTGAGAGTTCGAGCAGGACGTTCACCATCTTGAGCAGAGCGCGCGCGCGAGCGCGAGCGCATGCGCGCGCCACCCCCTGCTGTCTACCTTCACCGCGCTGATGACGTCAAAATAGGACAAGGAGCTGGTGGCCTTTGCTGGAAGGCGCGGCGCGCAGGAGGGAAGAGGACGAGGGGCCACTGAACTGTCCCCCTCGGTGTCTTCTGGTGCGGACCTCGCCTCTCCTTATCTCCGTCTTCGTCTTCCTCTCCTCTCGCCGACTCTCTCTCCGTCCTTTATTTAGCAAACTCCCGAGCCGTTTAACGAGGAAAGGAAACGGATACAAAGCTGCTGGGAAATAAATATGTATAATGAATATTTTATATAAATTATATGTATAAATTTCTTTTGCAATAATATACATAATAAAAAATAATAAATGGCACTGAATAATAAAATTAATAGATATCTTAAAATCATCGAGTCTTATTAAATAAATAAATCATCAGAAAATCAATATAAATAATCAAAATAAATAATAAATTAAATTTGTGTCAATTGCATTAATTAATATATAAATAATAAAAAATAATAAATGACATTAAATATAATTAAGAAATATCTAAAACCTCTCTCTCTCTCTCTCTCTCTCTCTCTCTCTCTATCGGGAGTCTTATTAAATAAATAAATCATCAGAGAATCAAAATAAATGATCAAAATAAAACATAATTATCAAAAATTTGTATAATTATAATAAATTAAATTATATGTATAAATTGCATTAATAATTAATATATAAATAATAAAAAATAATAAATAACATTAAATATAATAAATAGTAACAAATATAAGTAATAGATATCTTAAAATCATCAGGAGTCTTACTAAATAAATAAATCGTCAAAAAAATCTAAATAAATATAAATGATCAAAATACAGAAATAATTATCAAAAAATTGTATAATTATAATAAATTTTTATCTTGAATTGTCTTGAAAAATCTCTTTTAAAATTAATAATTCATGAATATTCTAAAAATCATCAGGGAAGTCTTAATCTTAATAAATATAAGTAATTAAAATTTTAAAAATTGTATAATTATATAATAAATTTTTATCTTGATTAAATTTTTTTTAAAATTTTTACAAAAATTATATATTCCAACGATAAACTAATTATATTAACAAATTTTACATATATGCTGGACAGCCACTCTCTCTCTCTCTCTCTCTCTTTTTCTATCTTTAGTGCTGCAAATTTGTTGTACCATATATGAAGGTGCATGCAGTGGCAGCAAATAAATTAAATTCTTGCTCGAAACTGGACTTGCGAAAAACGTAAGGTCATCAAGACGAATCCGAGGAATATCACTCTCGCTCTCTTTGTTGGAGGATCTTTGTCCGGCATCTCAGGAATGCGGGAGTATATACATATATGTTTGTGTCCATTTCGTTGATTAAAAATACATCTACTTTTACCACTTAGCTAAAAATACATTCAGTGATAGCTGCCATATAAATATTAATTTAGAAAAAAAAGAATTCGAAATTTTTTTGCTTCTACATATAAATAATTAAACTGAGGAGAATTAATTTAATTTTTTCTCCTCTGCAAAATTATTAAAATATGTAACTCATAAATGTTATATAAGTCAAGCTCTGATTTTGATTTCTTATAACAACTCATTATATGTATGATAAAAGATTCTTAATATTTTTAGTTACTTATTTTTAGCAAGCCGATTATTTTGCTTGATTGTATTAATAATGAAACACATATTTCATTGTGTCGCATTTGAATTAAATATAGTGCGAAAATATCCTATATAGTGCTAATATAGTGCGAAAAATATCCTATATTGTTTATATATTTTCTTAAGTATAAAGAAAAAATGTTCAAGATATTTTTTCTTCACTATATTATATCCTAATAATTGTTAAAATTTTGACAATTAAGTCTTCTGGACATTCGCCGCGGCCATATGTTAGATCTTGTGATGTTAGAGGCGAGAAACGCGTTGAAAATTTTTACGTGCCATTTTTAGATAAACAGATATTTTGATAAAACACAATTTTAATTGTTTTATCAAAATATCTTTTTATCTAAAAAATAATGTATTTTCTCACCTCTGACATCACAATCTAACATGGCTGCGGCAAGAATCAAGGAACCTAAAAACTTTTTTCTTATTTGTTGGCACATTACATTATTAAAATATATTAATTGTAAAAACATTGTTAAATGCGCCCTTTTCAATTTTTAAAGCAAATTTGGATAAATATCTCTAAATATATTTTTAAATACAGCTCCTGCTTAAAGCAGATATTGTATATAAAAAATTAGCAATTTTTTTCAAATTAAATGCTTTATATATAATTAATCACATTTTTAAAATAAAAAAAATGTTCCTCTATAATTTAATTAAAATTCCATCAATTTTCTATACTATACTGTTATATATATATATATATTTCTTATATAAATATAATATTAATTATCAACATATTAACACTTACGGATTATGAGAAAGTAGATTAGTGTTTCCAAAGTTTTATTTAAGCATAAATTGTAAATACAATAAAAATCAGGCTACGAGAGCACTGGCCGTTGAACTTTCATATTTCCAATTCGGCGGCAGAGATCCCTTCGCTTTGTAATAACGTGCCAGCCTATGGATTCTCGACTCGACGAGAATCAAACGAAATTTACTGTCCTTATCTTTACGATTTCGCTCCAAGTGTTTGCGCACAGCGACTGCCTTCTTAATCAAGTAATACAAATCTTCCGGTAGATCTGGAGCTAAGCCGATGCTTTTCACAATGCGCAGGATCTTATTTCCTGTACGGAATCGCACTTGTGCCACGCCATGCGAATCACGGAGTATGACACCTGCAAATACAAATTTTCTTCATAAATGTTATTTTTTTTCTTCATCTTAATGGTTTAATTTTATTTCAGTATAATCTGTAAGTGTCAGTGATTACCTATTATGAATTAATAAATTATATTATACTCATATAGGTGCTTGAACATCACTAAATTTTAACTCGCAAATTTGTCTTTTATTAAAGAGATCAAATTGTACAATTCAAGATCTCTTGAGTAGTTCGCTTTTGCATGTATTAATCTTGTCAAATAATAATATATATAAAATAAGATATATATATATATATATATCTTATTTATATTATATAATCTGTAAGTGTCAGTGGATACCTATTATAAACTGACAAATTATATCATACTCATATCAAACACTTACTGAATTATTATCTTACAAACATGTCTTTTATTAAAGAGATCAAATGGTGCAATCAAACATCTCTTGAGTAGTTTGCTTTCACATGTATTAATCTTGTCAAATAATAAGATATATATATATATTTTTTTCTAAATAATGTGAACATATTATTAATAGTACCAATTTGAGACGGTGTATGTCCTTTCTTCGCTAATTTGTAGATAAGATCTTTGCAATCTTCTGGCGTCAATTTCAACCAGGTTGGTACACTTCGTCGATAAGGAAGCGCAGACTGGGATATACCCTTTCTAGAAAAAAAAGTAATAAATACATAATCTTTAATTCAATTTACACAGCGGATATTTTTAACGTAACCATGTTATAATAAACTAATATTTTTTTAAACTAGTACTTTCTTTATTAATATTGATATTAATAAAAATTAAAATTAATATTGATAAAATACATAAAAAATACATTAAAAATAAGATTTAAAAAAATAAAAATAAAAAATAATAGAGATTGAGAATATTTATCATATTTCTTAAGGAATTTACAATATGTAAAACACAATTTATAGTTCCGATATACACTGCGAGTACTGAAAAGCTTACGTTACATGTAATATATATTTTCAGTAATATCGGAACATGTCCTATATAATTCAAACTCAATATATGTGTTTATATTAATAAGCACAATTTTTTAAGCATTATGTCTATCAAGTAGTAAAAAATTAACGCCATAACACACTATCATACACACTCACACTAACACATGAAAGCTTATGTATTCTACAAACCGGAAATTTCGAGCTAAATGTGCCTCAAAAATTCAAATTTACTTAAATGCTAGACGATTACAAGTAAAAAAAGTTGATAAATCGAGGAATAAATATTTAGGCAAAAAAATGGAAAATGAAGTTGCAGAGACACATGGTCGCCGAAACCTCGTGGTGCCTTGTTTCGGGGATGCGGTTAAAAAATTGAGAGCATTGCAAGAAAATTAAAAAAATATATATCGCAAATAAATATCTGCGATAAAATAAACGTATGCTTACCCGTGCGAGTGCATACGACCCATTTTGAGGGATTTTCGCAAACAGCAACGATGTATCCACAAGGAAAGAAAGAGAAAAGGGACGGCAAGAGACAGCAGCGCCCTCTAAACTAAAAGTTCAGCCATATATAACGCATTTATATAGTTGGCATAGTCGTATATACGAAATGATATTCAGTTCGACACGTTTATTGGTTGTTAAAAAAAAAAATGTAAAATAATGAAAATAATAATTTAAAATAATAATATATTTATACTTATATTTTAAAATAATAATTGTAAAAATAGTACACAAATTTGATTATGTATAATTTTTTCGATATCCCGTAAAATAAATATTAATTAATTTTTTCTTAATAACTGCTGTAGATAATTTTTGAAGATAAAACAAATTTGAACAAAAATAAAGCAATTTTTGTATCGTAAAAACCTGTAAATTCTAATGGTAATTTTCATTGGTTTTGACATTTACATTGTTATTAACTTTATAATTTATTTATAATAAAAGTAAAATGAAGGAAATTCTAAAATATGGATATTATTATAAGAATATTTAGATAATTTTTAAAAAATTTAGTTTATTTTAAAATATTTTATTTACAATGAAAAGATATTAATAAATCTAAAAGTATTATTAAAATTTTAATAAAAAAGTCAATATTCCAAGCAGGAAACTGAAAAAATGACGTATGTCGCTACCTGATTAATCATATTCTATTGCCCAATCATATCGAAGGAAACCAAAATTCCTCTATCCCGATTGGCCACTCAAACATTCTATCGACGCAGTAAATTTTCGAACGCAACCCAAATGTAAGATTCGCGCGGGGAAAATAAAATTCTATTCTCGTTTCTTTCGCAATTTCGAAATATATTTTTCCTCTCCTCCTAAAAAAATTGAAAGAAGGAAAAATTCGGGAAAAGAGAAGAGTTTTTCCCTAAAGAAATTCCTCGAATTCCATTTCGAATCAACGGTCCGGGCCACTTCCGGCCGAATAATACTACGTGCGACATTTGCCGAATCGCCCGCTCCCCACCCTCTGTCATCTGTCACTCAGCTGTCAAATCGCGCCATTCATTCTCGCTTCCGCGTCAGCACGCTTAGAGGAGTCGGAGGATCCGAAGCTCGAAAAAAATTTGGCGAACGTGCCTCATATCCTCACGAATCAATGATTTTTTTATTCCGATCGTCGCCGAGAGTAACCGGAAGTGACGCAACCAACGTACTACCGCATACATATACACACATCGGCGTCCGCGATCCAAGATGTCCGCGGTCTCGCGATAGAACGCGTACCTTTCCGGAGGTGCTGTCAAGAAGCGACGTCGCAGGGATCCCGGCTTCCTAGACGAGCGAACAGCTGGGCCCGTCTGCCCGATTACCAGAGGATCCTGAGGCTCGACGTCGCGCGGCCACGTGACAGCTCGGCGTCTCGCGGAGTCCACGAGTCGACGACTCGTCTCGGAGGCGATATCGAGAAAAAGGTGAGAGAGATAGAGAGAGGGGGAAGGAGTGAGGGAGAGAGAGAGAGGCTGAGACGGGAGAATCGACGAGCGTCAGGATTATTCTGGCGTCCGATTCTCGCTGGGTTTTCACCTCGACGCTATCTGTCAAACTGGCCGAATAATTCCGGTTCATTTTATTCTTCTTATTTTCACCGAAGAGTTCGTCAGGGAGAGATTCGGGCGACCGCGGAAGACTGAAAGGAGAGGTATTCAGGTAGATTCCTCGAAAAATGTCACTTCCGTTGCGATAATCGAGAAATGATTCTTTTTTCCGTTTCAATTCCAATCTGAGAAAAATAGGCACCAATTATAGTTGTACAATAATGATGCAGCTTTATCTAGAGGAGTAAATAGGCGTGTAAATTGAGATTTTATATATATATATATATATATGTATATATATATGTATATATATATATACATATATATATGGCGAATCTTCTGTTTTTTGCAGGTTTGTAGGAGGACGTGCAGCGGGTATGAATTTTAGGAAAAATTAAGATGTCAAGTGACAGTGATTATACTTGTCTGGTACGTCCTCATACTCACAAACGCAAGAAAATTGTCATCAGTGACAGTGATAGCAGCGATGACTCTATTATTGTACAAACCCGGAGGAAAAAGAAGATACATGTACGTGTGGAAGTCTTCATTTCATTGATATTGCAAAGTCATTACATTTTAACAATCTCCAAAGATTAAATTTTTGCTTAACATAGTAGGCGAGAACTTTCATTTACCTGTTTTATAATTTCATGAATAAATAATACATATAAATCATAATAAAAAGATATGATGATATATTAACATGCAAAATTTATATATAAAACAATGATCTGAATTAATAATTGCCTTATTATTCCAGAGGGTCATTAGCGAAGGAGAAAGTAGCAGCGATGATAGTGATGTACCCAAGCCTGTGATCAGACGACAAAACCATGTAAGTTCAATTCTGTTACAGATTTTTACAGAAATATTTAATCAAATTTATAACAATTGTAGTTTCATATCGAAATTGTTTTATTGCAGAGAGTTATTAGTGAGGATGAATCTAATTTTGATAGTAGCGCATCAGAGGCCAGCCAATCCTCTCAAAGCGGTCAGTATCTTACATTGATGTCTTGTAAAATATATATTAAATATAGTATATTAAATATAATATATTAAATATAATGTGTTACATATATATTAAAAAATATATATATATATTTTATAAATATATATATATATATATATATAATAAATATATATTATGTATATTATTAAATAAATTAAATATATATTATAAATATATTAATTCACTATTTACTGTAAAATATATATGTATAAATATATATTACAGATAGTAGTAGCACATCCGACTGGCAAAGCGATTGGTCGAGTTCTGATGAATTGAACGAAGACAGTAAGAAATACAATGCCAAGCGTAAAGTTTTATCTAAAACTAAGAGGAATGATCCGATCGGTGAACCCGGTCCTTCCTCATCATCCAACGCTGATGTCCACTCGGATAGCAGTGATGAACGTTTGGAGAAATGTCCTATATGCCTACTGCCATTTAGAAAACAGCAAGTTGGTACACCATCTGCTTGTGACCACTGCTTTTGTTTAGATTGTTTATTGGAATGGAGTAAAAACATTAATACCTGCCCTGTGGATCGTCAATCCTTCACCGTCATTCATGTTAGAGATAATCTTGGCGGCAAGGTAATATTATTTTTCACAAATATATATTTTTTCCATTTTATTTTAATAAATTAAATCATGAGACAAATATTTTATTGCCATCTACAAAAAGATGGAATAAATACGATATACAAGTTTTTTCTATCTATTCCAGATCATAAAACATGTACCGATAGAAATTGTGCCGCGTATTGAACCTCAAGCGCAAGATGATCCAACATTTTGTGAAGTGTGTCATCAAAGTGACAGAGAAGATCGAATGTTGCTCTGCGACAATTGTGATCGTGGTTACCACTTGGAATGTTTAACACCTCCGATGACCATAGTTCCTATAGAGGAATGGTTTTGCCCAGATTGTACGAATCGCACAAATAATAGAGTGGTAAGAGAGAAAACTTCTATCCATATTCAAAGGATATTTAAGGATAATCGTATACATTATGTACAAAGACAATAAAATTGTGATGTAAATACACAGATGAAAAACACATGTTGACATCTCTCGTTTATGTTTACAGTTCGTAACAGACTTTCTGCCAACTCTGATGATGACACGACGTCCCAGTCGGCGTGTCCTTCAGCTGGATAACGAGAGTGGCTTAGGCATATTTCGTAGAATATTTCCTCACCTTCGCAATATCGACGATGACCGCATGTATGTACCTGCCAGCCTTCGCAATCGGCCCCGCGAGGAAGTGCGCGATCCCGAGGCGGCTCCGGCGGACATTCCCGAACAGTTTGTCGACCCGAATCTGCCGTCTACTTCGTCCGGCCTCGACTCGATCGGCGACAACAGTCGGAGTCGTTCTCCGAACACTAGTTTAGAGGGTAACGTTTCCTCACGTTCGAGCAAAGCAAAAGCCAAGAAGAAGACAACGAAGAAGAAGAAGAAGAAGAAAAGCAAGCTGACGAAGAGCTCAAAGAGAGACGGCAGCAGGACTACGGTTCGGGAGGTGCGAATCACAGAATTCAACGACGACGGTGAGGAGGAGGAGATAGTGACGTATGTCAAAGTCGCATCGTCCACGTCCAGAAGGAAGTGTAAGAAACGAACAAAGAAAACGCGCAAGGTATATCGCTAATTTCTCCTCAAAATGTAGAATTATAGCTTAACACCATAACATTTCACGCTCTCGTGGGGGATTGCCAGATATACATATACAATTTGAAGGCTCTTCGCCGATCATGGAATTGTGACGTCAGAAGACACGCTAAAAATTCTTGAAAGTGGCATCTAAAAATTTTCAACGTGTGCTTCTGACGTCATAATCTGACCTGGCCGCGGCAAGGAGCCTCTTAAATTTGACAAGCTATAGCTTCTTTTTTTGTGTGTGGAAAGAAAACGTATTAGATCTTAATGATATATTCTAATCATAGACTAATTAGTAAATATTCATACGACTTATATTTTTTAATTACAATGATATATACGACATTTGTAGATTTTTCTTCAGATTGATGGAACACATATGTCATCTGGCAACGCCACTATATCTCATTATTAAATGTTTATCATCTCGAACTTCCGATCTACACTATTATTCAATTACTGTATTTCCTTACTATACTTTACGCCACCTTCGTAACACGATCCAATTGAATTAGATTTTTCGATTGTAACTCATTGTTCTTAATTTATATAAATAAAACGATTTTTCCACTAGATGCACTTGGTTTTTTTTCTTAATTTTGCTTAAATAACTTTATCACACTGATATGCCAATCTTAAAGAAAAACAGTAGTGTATAAATTTTACTTTAAGATTAAAATTATATGTGAGTTATTAATTTCTCATTAATATCAATTTTTCATTTTCTTGCGTGATATTTTTAATAATCCTAGAAAAAATAAAATATTAATTAATTAAAAATAAATATGAAAAGTAACACTGTTATGAAATCTTAAAGTATAGAATTATATACATTAATTAATTGAATTATGTATATAAAAGATACTATCTTGAAGAAAAATTGCAATTACTTATATCGAGGGTAATATAAATAAAAAATTTTGAAGAACAATGAATTTACAAACTTATTCAAAACATCTGTTTTAGTAAGACTACAAGAACTTTTTATATCTACTGCTTTCAAAATAAATTAACTTATATGTACAAGTTTATATACCCTCCCTAAAAAAATTATAACAAATGTGGTATAGTATGATAAAATCTAATTTTTGCTTATTTTACTAACTTACTAACTTATTTTCTTTATCCTATAATAACTTCCCACTAAATAAAAAATTATTGAAAGGGATGCTTCTTTTCTTTTTGATATGACACTTTAATTTTATGTTAAATGGAAACATTTTGCCTCATTATATTTTACACGATCTTTGTATAAGAACACAATATTATTATACTATTTCACCAGAGGAGAAAACACAAACGACGAGCATCCGGGCTGACTAGTACACGTACAGTGAAGAGAAGATTGGCCTCCGCACTTGGTATGAAGAAGCCCAAGGTGCCCGTGCTCGTCCCTACCATGAAAAGCAACGCTTCTATTCCTGAGAAAAGCGCTCTCAACAGTGCCAGATACAGCGCCGGTATACCTCAAGTCAGTCTCTTCGGGAATAATCTGGGAATAGATTACAGTCCACCTGGGTGAGCGATTCATTCCATGATTTTATATCTGTATATTAATATCGCTAATTGACAGAGTTGAGTGATAACTAGTTAATTAAATATAAAAAAAACTATTAATCTCGGCTCGAATTATTGTGTTACAATAAAAATAAAATCTCGACGGCAATCGGAGCCTATGCGGATGACATGCACAAAATTAATAAATTAAAATGAGATCTCAAGTCAAACTCATTTATTAAATTCTAAACGTTTCGACCCACTTCGGGTCTTCTTCAGTAGCTGCAAAATACAAAGAAACAAAAATAGAAGATAATCGGTACAATCAGAAAATTTAAAACTCGTATACATACAATCCGCAAATAAATTAAATATCATTCTCCTCCCTATTCAAACCGTCCGGCCGTCGGAGTGTCTCCCTAACGGTGACCATCGTCAGGAAGGAAGCGGAGCAGTGACTCCCTTACCAACACTAATCAACATGGTATAAATTAAACGTAGAACAATTCACAAGAATTAAAAATTAAGAACCGGGAAGAACACTCACCCCGACAGCAAAAACAGAGAGAAGACGATGCTACACGTGACACATCACTCTAACGACTGTGCGGTATTCTACCTCGACACAGTCGATACATATATACGCAAAAAACAAATATAAAAATAAAATATGAAAATAAAAATAAAAATAAAAACAACTAAACTAATCGGCACTCATGTCAAAAGTCTAACAAAAAAACCCGGCTATGTAAAATCACAAAGCTAGATTTTGGTAAATTTTTCTATTAACAGATCAAGATTCTCGTTTAATTTATCAGTGTCGCTATGTAAATTTAAACTATTCCTCTGACGTTTTATGTGGATCATTTCGGATATCAAACGTTTACCTAAAAAAGGCTCCTCGTCTAAGACTTTTACATCCTCCCAATTAAATTCATGGTTCAATAATCTATGTTCCGATATGACTGATAATTGTGACGCGTTTCTTTTTATGTTGTTGCGATGTTCTTTCATCCTAGTTTTCAACAATCTACCCGTCTGCCCTACGTACGACGCATCACAATCCATACAATCAATTTTATAAACTACATTATTATGGAGTTCTCTTGGTAACTTATCCTTGTGTACTTTAATGAATTTACGGAGACTGTTAATTGCTGTATATGATGGAATGACATCCAAATCACGTGTAATGTCCTCGATTCTCTTCGATACATTATTAATATACGGAATATTAAAGTACGAAACTTTTTTCTGCGTTAGAATCTTGTCATTGCATACATTTGCTCTATTGTTATGCAACTTATTATTATAGCGGAAGAACAACTTTTTTAACCGCGCTTGTAATGTATGAAATATCAAATTGAGAGGATAATTATTAGACAAAAGAACTCCAATCATAGACTCAAAGTTAACTTTATGGAATTTCGGATGAGATAGCCAAAAAACTCTATCTATGAGGCTGATAATGGTGCCTTTTTTATGACAGAGAGGATGCTGCGATTCAAAATTTAAATATCTACCTGAATACGTCGGCTTATGAAACAAATCAAACTCAATGCTCCCATTATTTATAATAATGGTGACATCTAAAAAATTCAATCGGTTGTCAACCCCCTCCTCCATGGTGAACTGCAATCTAGGATGGAAAGAATTGAAAGTGTTTAAAACTATTTTAAGCATGGAGGGTGGGGCCGCCAACGCGATATCGTCAACATATCTAAAATAAAATGGAAATGACAATGGAATCGCAGCAATCGCTCTACTCTCCAAATCTTGCAACGTGATATCCGCAATAATCGGTGAGAGGGGGGAACCCATAGGCGTGCCAAAAGTCTGTTGATAACATACATTATTAAACATAAAATAAGTCGAGTTCATAATAAAACGAATTGCCAATAAAAATTCATCTCGTGGAATAATACACTCTTTTTCAATATACCCCCATCTGTTAATTAAACTATCAATAGCCATATCCAATGGTACGTTGGTGAACAATGATGTAACATCTAGTGAAACTAGCTTCACATCACTATCCACACATAAACCATTTAATTTGTTCACTAATTGGAAACTATCAGAAATAGCCGAATCAGGTTTCGGAATTGCCTTATATATTATCTTATGTAAAAATTTTGCCAAGTAATAAAGAGGTGTATTCCTAGATGACACGATGACACGTAAAGGGCAATTCGGTTTATGCACCTTCGGCAGACCATACGCTCTCGGTAAAACCCCGTCCGTGCAGTTCAGGGATTTATATGTTGTTGAAGAAATGTAATTCTTCGTTTTCCATCTCATTAAAATTCCGTGTAATTGATTAATTAGGTTCCTAGTCGGATCTTTTTTAACAACAGTATAAGTATCCCGGTCAGCCAGCAAATCACACATTTTGTCCATGTACATATCTCTGTTCATCGCAACCGTGATATTACCCTTATCCGCCTTCATAAATAAAATATCGGGATTGTCTTGGATGAATTTACCCGTCAATTTGTAAGCCTTACAAAAACTATTTTTTGTGTGAGCTTTTTCTGACATGGAAATATGGAATTTATTTATTATGGGAAAGGCTCTACTTCTGACTGCAGATCGTTTTTCCACAGGGAGTTTAAAAATATTTTGTTCCATATTTTTCAACAACTCTATGGTGGTTTTATCTTTGTCAAATACTGGCAGACAGAAATTCTCTCCTAACCGCAACAAATCTCGAATTTCATACGGTATCGATACGGATGATAAATTTAAAAACCATTTATCTCTTTTGTCAGCAACATCAGGATTTAAAGAAACAAAGGAAGTCGGGCTCAAGGAAACGCTGAGAGACTGAGACGGCCCTGACTCACATGGCCTTGAAGAAAATTCTTTCGTACACGTGTAATAATATTGGATAGGACGGATATTCCTATTATTGAATTTATTTTGTTTATCTAAGAGCCATCTAAATTTATCATCCAGTCGAACCCGCTCCTTATTATAAAAATAATGTAATGATTTGCTTTGCTCACCGAAAAACCCATCACAATAAAACACTGGGAGATCTATCATGATGTAACGAACGAGTTCATAAATATCTAATCTGACTTTGTGCTTCTGTCTATGAGCATCATAAATTTCATTTCTTAAAATGTCTTTAATAGTACGTCTTATAATAAATTTGTGTTTCAATACAGACTTATAATGATATAAATTATTAGCATAACGAGAAAGAAACATCAGATGAGACGGTGTAACATCCTGATTTAAACAATCTTTTAAAAATTTGATTCGCAAGTTTAATCTAATCAGTCTCTTATTTAATTTAATCCAATCCTTCAAATGTTTGACCGCGCTCCAATTAAAACTGTGTCCAACAAATTGGAAGAAATTCCTCAACGGACGCATTATTACAGCCAGCGTAAATTCAATATAAAAAAAACATAAAAAGAAACGCGTCACAATTATCAGTCATATCGGAACATAGATTATTGAACCATGAATTTAATTGGGAGGATGTAAAAGTCTTAGACGAGGAGCCTTTTTTAGGTAAACGTTTGATATCCGAAATGATCCACATAAAACGTCAGAGGAATAGTTTAAATTTACATAGCGACACTGATAAATTAAACGAGAATCTTGATCTGTTAATAGAAAAATTTACCAAAATCTAGCTTTGTGATTTTACATAGCCGGGTTTTTTTGTTAGACTTTTGACATGAGTGCCGATTAGTTTAGTTGTTTTTATTTTTATTTTTATTTTCATATTTTATTTTTATATTTGTTTTTTGCGTATATATGTATCGACTGTGTCGAGGTAGAATACCGCACAGTCGTTAGAGTGATGTGTCACGTGTAGCATCGTCTTCTCTCTGTTTTTGCTGTCGGGGTGAGTGTTCTTCCCGGTTCTTAATTTTTAATTCTTGTGAATTGTTCTACGTTTAATTTATACCATGTTGATTAGTGTTGGTAAGGGAGTCACTGCTCCGCTTCCTTCCTGACGATGGTCACCGTTAGGGAGACACTCCGACGGCCGGACGGTTTGAATAGGGAGGAGAATGATATTTAATTTATTTGCGGATTGTATGTATACGAGTTTTAAAATTTTCTGATTGTACCGATTATCTTCTATTTTTGTTTCTTTGTATTTTGCAGCTACTGAAGAAGACCCGAAGTGGGTCGAAACGTTTAGAATTTAATAAATGAGTTTGACTTGAGATCTCATTTTAATTTATTAATTTTGTGCATGTCATCCGCATAGGCTCCGATTGCCGTCGAGATTTTATTTTTATAGTTAATTAAAGTTAAAAAGTTAATGACTTTTAGTTGATTTAAAATGTATTAATTTTTAACTTCAACTAGATGTTTTTGACCTTATTAGCTTTTTTCACAAGTTACATTTTTTTTATCTCTGAATATTATTTTATTTTATTATTTTGAAATGATTCTTGTTCCTAATATATTTTAATATATTTATTCCTAATATTTAAAAATATTGGAAATAGAAATAAATATATGAAAAATATGAAATATTAGAAATATGAATATTTGAAAATCAAATAGAGATACAAATAAAAATAAAATAGAAAATTTCGAATAAATATTAAATATTTAGAAATAAGAATGATTTTTAAATAATACTTTAATAGGAAAATATTTTAAAATAATATTTTAAAATAAAATCGAAAAAATTCTCATATCTCTGATATATAAATACAATTTAGGAAGTTACTTAATTACAAGAGTTAAGTAATTAGTAAAGTTAAAAACAAAGTTAAAAAGTTAACTTTTAACTTAGCTTAGTTAATTTAAAATGTAATAATTTTTAACTTTTAGTTATTTTTTACCTTAAACTTATTAATTGTTTCCTAAGTTAAATTTCTATCGAGCTTTCTTTGAACCCTACAACTTTTGTTTGCAACATTTTTCTCTAAAGTGCCTCGTTTAAAAGAGATATCTTGTGTATAGGGTGGTTCAAAAGTCCGGCAACGGCCAATTAGCTCCAAAAATAGTGATCAAAAATTGTTAACTTCATATCATTATGACTCAAAGTTTTATTATAGTGTTTTCGAAAGCTCTCGAGATAAACTACAAGAATTTGCAATGAAAAATGGAGGGTTCCATTAAAAAAAAAAAAAAAAAATTAAGTTGACCTTGAAATGACCTCTAAATTTGACCCCTAGGTCAAGATCACCATCACGTTCCTTATTTTGAGTTCTACAACTTTTTTATTTACCATTTTTTAACCACCCTGTACATAAAATAAATAATATCAAGTACATTCCAGTAAAAATTAAGTTGACCTTGAAATGACCTTTAAATTTGACCTCTAGGTCAAGGTCACCATCAAGTGCCTTATTTTGAGTTCTACAACTTTTGTATTCACTATTTTTTAATCACCCTGTATATTTATATGTGTAATTTTAATAAGTAATATCAAGTATATTCCAGTAAACTTGAACCAATTTGTATTGAATACAGGTCGGACAACGAGGACGACGACAATGAATATTCCATGGGAAACTGTCCGCTGATAAGCATCCGGCAACGGCGCTCGGCGGTTCCTTCGATCCGGCGTCGAGCCATCCTGAAAAGCATCGCTAACCCGATCGACGAAACAGAGAACGTGGCGACGGACCTACTGAGCAGCATAATGAACAACCAGGAACTGTGGCACTCGAACAAGAAGAAGGACGACGTGATCCTGAAGGCGGACGGTACCCTGATAGTGAACAACCCCGACAAGGAGAACAAGCACAGCCTGAACAACAACGAGAGTCCGAAGAAGGAGAAACAGGACCAGGAAGAGATCACGCGATTCAAGGTCGCGACTCATCGTCTCAAGCTCGTGGACACCCCGCTGGACCTCTCCAACGTCAATCCCAGCGACATCATCACCCAGGCACCGATGTACAACAATCCCTGCGGTGGTGGCGGCGGAGGAGGCGGAAATCGGGGCAACTTTCGGGGCGGCTACGGTCGCGACAACAGCGGCCGCCACGGTGGAAGTGGCGGCCACGGAGGGCAGAGCTACGGTGGCGGTCGCGACTCTTTGCCACCTGGTAGCGGCGGCGGCGGTGGAGGTGGAGGTGGCAACAGTGGAGGCGGCGGTAGACACAGCTACGGTGGCGGAGCCGGCGGCGGAGGTCCGCGGGACAACTTCGGGAACCGCGAGAACTTCGGTCCGCCCTTCTTCAACCCCAACTACGAGCACTGCGGCGGACCGCCGATGTTTGGCGCCCACGCGCCGCCGCCGCCGTTCCGCAGCCGTAATCCGCAGCACTTCCGCAACGATCGGCTGCGTTTTCCGCCGCCGATGCCGCCGGCCGGGATCGAGCGAGCTTTCAATTACCAGGACGGCTTCGAGCCGCGACCGCCGTTTCCGGATCACGGCCGATTTCCCAGACCTCGGCCGCCACCGCCGCCGCCACCTCCCTTGGCGAGCTTACCTCCCGCCAGTGGTGGTCCACCGGCGCCGGAGCCTCCCTTGAACGTGGCGCAGCCGCCAGCGACGCGCCTGCACAACAGTCTGTCTTCGGTGGGTCTGCCGGAAGACGCGATGATGCGGAATTTTAGGTCGTCCCCCGAGCGGAACGATCGCGTTGTAGCCTTGCCGGAGCCTGTAGCGGCGCCGGCCGCGGGGTCCACGCGCCAGGACAACGACGACTGCGACATCTACTGCGACATCGAACCGCCATCTGTTAAGCCCGACTGTGACATCCAGGAGGAACTGCGCAGCAATGGCTCCATGATCCTGTTGCCACCGCCGGAGCCACCGTCCGGGCTCCTGGATTTTGAGGAGAACTCCAGGAGCGACAAGGATAACGACAGCGAGCAGGAGTTGGTGATCGACGACAGCCACAAGGAGGAGAGGTCGCCGAGGGACCTGCCGACGAGCGCTGATAAATATGACCCATTCGCCGCCGACAGCGATAGCAACGACGATGCAGCGGCAGCTGCTGCCGCTATTGCTGCTGCATCTGCTGCTGCTACTTCTTCGATAGAGGAGAAGACGAAGGTTCAGGGACCGCGAAACAGCCTGGACAGTCGCGACATCCCGATGCCGGTCGCTGAAAGCGGAGAACCCGTCCGGCTGACCGCGTACGACGACGACGAGGACAACGACTCCCAGTCGGACTGCCCGAACTTCTCCATCTATTCCTCGCAGACCATGGATGTAGCCAGGCACACGGAGCAGGAGCTGTCGCAGCAGCTAGGCCCGCTCCAGCCGCCTCCGCTGCCACCCAGTATCCCGGACGACGACGACATCATCGTCGGGGACGTCCAGGCCTGCGACCTTCCGGACGCGCCCCCGGAGCCCGCGGATCCTTACCTGGAGGCGTTGCAGAAGGAGCGACAGACCTTGAGCAAGATACCGCCGAAGAAGATCTCGCACGATTCGCATCGCGGCAAGATCACCTTCAAGATCGGCTACAAGCTGCGGCTGAACAACCGGCTGAGTGGCCTGCACCCTGAGGAGCACAGCGTGAACTCGCAGAACGCTAGCTTCCAGAAGAAAGCACCGGCGACGCCGCAGCTGGTCGACGAGCAACAGCAGCCGGAACGAGGAGTCAGTCCACCCAAGTCGACCTTGGAGAGATCCTCGGCAGCCCCGAAGATAGGACCGCAACTACCCGAAGAGGAGGACGAGAAGGCTACGTCGGATACGGCTACCCCGAGCTCGCTGAAGAAGAAGGATCCACTCGAGAGCGAAGAACCGGGTTCGGAGAGCTCGTCGGATGAGGAAGACGCGAACCCCAGGTCCAGACCCGCCGAGGTCGCGTCACCCGGCCAAGAAGACGAAGACAGCGAGCCAGAAGCGTCACCGGCACCAGCTACGGCGGAGGAGAACGTTGCGGTAGCTGAAGCTACCTCGGTCTTGTCCTCCTCGACCCTTCGGCTCTCTCCGAGGAAGTCGGACGACGACGAGGCGAAGGTAGAGCGCACTTCGTCGCAGAACTCGACGGCGACCAGCAGAGTCGCGGACTCGCAGGAGTGGGAGCTCAACAGCGAGGACGATGATTCGCCAAACAGTCTTCAAGGTAGCCAGCCTGTCAAGGCCGAGCTCGACAAGGTTACAGACAAGGACGAGAAAGCGTCGGGTGACCCTGAGGCGGATTCGAATCGGCAGGAGAAGACGGAGACGATGATGGTGGTCGACGACGAAGTCGAGCAGTTCCCGATCGAGAAGGAGGAGAAGCTGAAGAACGAGCCTGCTGCGACCGCTGATACCAACTGGGACTCCGATGGCGCCTATACACCCTGCAAGGACGAGTTACCCGTGAAAGAGGAGGGCGCGCGTGCGTCGTCGTTCGAGGTCGGCTTGGAGCCGATCACCCCGACCAAGGACAGGACCAACGATGACCTTGACGACTGCAGAACCCCGCCGGCCGGCTACGCCGAGCTGGGCACCGAGGCTATCTCCGAGACCGACGAGGCGATCAACTTCGAGGAGGAGCTGAATGCCCTGGCGTTGCGGAAGGAGAAGGAGATGGAGGACGGTGAGATTCCGGATGAGAGCAAGCTGAAGGACGCGAAGGAGAAGTCCAAGGAGGAGAAGGAGGACGACGAAGAGAGCAAGAGGCGGAAGAAGAAGGATAAGAAGGAGAAGAGCAAGGAGAGTACGGAGAAGAACAAGGAGAACATATCCTCGGACAACCTGGTAGCCTGGAAGAAGCTCTCGAAGAGCACGAAGGAGAGACCATACCGCGACAAGGACAAGGGACGCTCTAGGTCGAGGGAGAAGGAGCGGGAGAAGGACAAGTCTTCCAAGAAGAAGACCAAGGAGATGACGAAGAAGAAGGAGAAGCGGAAGGAGCTGCCGCGCTACGACGTGAGGAAGATCGTCGCCGAGAAGCCGTCGCGACCGCGCAAGGACGAGTACGGAAGGGACATCCGGGAGAAGACTTCACGAAGTAGATCCCGAAGTCGCTCGTCAGAGCTGAAGCTACGTTCCGGTTCCCGGGATCGACGTAGTCGGTCCTACTCGAAGGACCGAGGACGTTCCAGGAGCAGGTCGCGTCTACGATTGTCCTGGTCCCGGGACCGCGGTCGCTCGTACTCCAGATCCTGCCGATCGATCTCGCGGGATCGCAAGAGGTCGTCGTCCCGCGCGAAGCGCAAGACCTCCCGAAGACGATCCGTCTCCCGCAGACGATCTCTGTCGCGACGGCACTCCATCTCCAGGAGACGCTCGCTGTCGCGGAACAAGCGACAACGCTCCCTGTCCCCCAGGTCCAGACGGTCCAGGCGGACGTTGTCCAGGTCGCGGGACAAGCGGAAGGACAAGACGAAGAAGACGTACAAATCGCGTAGTCGCTCGAGGAACCGGAAGAGGTCGCGCACCAGGTCGCCGAAGAGAATCTCGTCGTCCAAGTCGCGGGAGAAGAAGCACGGCAAGAGGAAGGCGCACAGCCGGTCCCGCTCCAAGGGCAGATCGTCGATCTCGCGCGATCGGGATCGCGCCAGGAACTGGGACCAGCTGAACGAGAAGAGCGTCGACCACGAGCAGCAATTTCCCCGGGAGCGCGAGGAACACGAGCGTTCCTGGAGCGCGCAGTGGACCCCGTCCTGGTCGCGTTCTAGATCCAAGACGCCGCCGCAGATCCACCAGGAGGCGATCGGTTCCCGGAACTGGTCGCCCCCACCGGTGCTGAACAACGTCTCGCCGAAGAACCTGACGGTGATCCTGACGAACAAGGAGGCGATCAAGAAGAAGAAGAAGGAACGCCGGAAAGAGAGCCGGAAGTCCAAGGAGACGGAGAAGCGTCGGAAGGGCAAGCGGAACCGGACCCCGCCTCCGTCCAAGGAGGTTTTCGCGAGCGGCGACAACATCCTCGTCAGCGTCTGCTTCAACAAGGACAACGAGACGAATCCTTTGGCGGCCACGCCGGAACTCCCGGAGACGATTCCTCTGATACCACCTATTAAACGTCGACGAAGGGAGTCGGTCCAGACCGAGTCCTCGGTACCCTCGGCGAAGCGCCCTAAGAAGGAGAAGACCAAGGATAAACGGTCCAAGTCGCCGAAGGCGAAGAAGGACAAGAAGAAGAAGTCCAAGGCGGCGGAGATTGCGGCGACGAAGAAGCCCGTGGCTGTGATCGACCTGGATCAGTCGCCCTTCCGCGAGCAGACCCCGTCACCGCGCGACGTCATCGTCCTGAGCGACGACGACGACAAGCAGGCGCAGGAAGCGCTCGCCGCGTCGCCGGAGCCCTGTCCGCCCTCCCAGACGTCCCCGCCGCGGGAGCAGTTCGTCTCTCAGGGTCCGAAGACCCCGCCCGAGCCGCAGATCAAGTTCTCCATCAACAAGCAACCCAGCAATCTCAGACCGTCCTTGATAAACCCGCTTCTGGAGGAGGAAGAGGAAGAAGAGGAGGAGGAGGAGGAAGAAGAGGAGGAGGAGATGATGGACGAGCGGGTCGAGGAGGAACTCGAGATGCGAGCGCAGGAGGAGCTGGAGCTGCGTCTGAAGATCGGACCCAACACGCCCCCGGAACCTCCCACGTCCCCGCCGACCTCGCCGGACGCTTACGATCCCTTCGACCCGACGAAGTCTCGATCACCGACCCCGGACGCGAGTCAAGAAGCTACTCCGAATGATGACCGAACGCAGCTCCGCAACTCCCCCAGGAAGCACGACGGAACGTCGGCGGAGCCTCCGTTGCCCTTGGACGAGCCCGGTCAGCAGCAGCTGGACCAGCCGAGTCAGGAGAAGCCGACGGAGAAGCCGAAGATAATATCGATGGTGACCATCAAGAGACCGTCGCCGCAGAGGGACGTTGCTGCGTCCTCTCCCGCGCCGGAGAATCAGCCCGACATGGCTCAGTCGTGCAACAGCCCGTCTCCTCCGGCTCCGAAGACTCAGCAGAATCCGCAATCGAACGTGCAATCGACCGCCAATCCGTTCGCCAATCCCGTCTTGGCGACCGTCGCCGCTGCGGTTCAAAGAAGCTTCAACGCGAACACGCCCAACACTACGCAGAGAACGTTGTTGCAGGTACAGAGATTGTTGAATCTGAAAAAGATTACTTAGGGTGTCCACTAGAATCTTGTAAAGAATTCCCGAAACTTCTAGGTTCTACAAAGGATCCAACACAATTCTTATGGGAATTGGATTTCGATGGAATTGGCTAGGTTTTTTTATATATTGTAGCTTGTGACATGCAACAAAAGATGTTATAGCTTCAAACAACTCCCCAGGTAGCAAGATTGACGTCATTAGATGTAAAAATGACGTCAGTTTGCTACTTGGGTTGCAAAAGCCAAATTTTTCGTGTTTGACAAGCTATGAATCAGTAACTATCTATTTTTTAAATAACGATAAAATTAATGGAGTCGCCAGTGATGAGTAAAACCATACAAATTTATTGAAATTTCGACCTAACTGGCCAGTACAATTTAATTAGAAACACTACGTTTCAACCCTTAGGTACGGGTCCTTTTCAAGTGTAACTGCACAATAAAAATATATAATACAATGATTAAGATATGAAAGAATAATTTACAAAGTTGTTAACGAAGAAATTTAAAATAATATAAAAATAATGTAATGTACCTTTCAAGATGTTGATTCGACAGCAGTAAAATTATTAATGTTAAACCGGAGAGACAAGTAAATCAATTTAAGTCAAACGTTAAAAACACAATAATATCAAAGTTCGACAATACAACGAAATAAATAAATAGACAATCATATACTGTGGATCAACTTATCATAAATCGATTGCAATGCAACATATACAGGGCAAACAAAAAGACAATTAGCTACACGCATAAACGAACATTGTAGAAATATTAAACAATATCATAGCAATTTTAACGTAATTAGCAAGCATCGAAAAAAATATGACCATGATTTTAAGTGGATGGAACCTAGGATTTTGCATTGCGAAAAACATAGAAGGAAGAGAGAATTAGCGGAGATGTTTTTATTTAAAAATATAAGAATAACATTAATTTGCAAAAGGACACAGAAAATCTAAATCCGATTTATGATGAGTTGATCCACAGTATATGATGGTCTATTTATTTATTTCGTTGTATTGTCGAACTTTGATATTATTGTGTTTTTAACGTTTGACTTAAATTGATTTACTTGTCTCTCCGGTTTAACATTAGTAATTTTACTGCTGTCGAATCAACATCTTGAAAGGTACATTACATTATTTTTATATTATTTTAAATTTCTTCATTAACAACTTTGTAAATTATTGTTTCATATCTTAATCATTGTATATTTTTATTGTGCAGTTACACTTGAAAAGGACCCGTACTTAAGGGTCGAAACGTAGTGTTTCTAATTAAATTGTACTGGCCAGTTAGGTCAAAATTTCAATAAATTTGTATGTATCTATTATTTAGTTTTAAACCTATTTTTTGTTTAGATCATAAGTTTACAATAGAAGAAAAACCAGTTAATTTTACCAAGATTCAATTTTATATAGGATCAGTGCGGGATTTCTGAACCTATATGAAATCCTAGATGAAATTGATTCCCGATTCCAAGAATCAGCTGGTTTTTTCACATGTTGTATCTTATAATCTGCTGAACAAAAAATGTAATAGGCTGAAAACTAAATAATAGATAATTACTGATTTAGAGTCAGTCAAATACAAGAAATTAGGATTTGCTATCGAATATTTAGCTTTGAGGCTATTACATCTTTTGTTCAGCAAGTCATAAACTATAACATATGAAAAAACAGCTGAAACTCCACCAATATTCAATTTCCCTTTCTCATATTTCGCCCGAAATTTTAAACCTGAAAAAATGAATAAACCAAAAATCAATTGATGATGAATTTTGACCAAATTTTTTTTCCAGTCCAATCGCATCTCGCCGAACAACCAGATAAAGCAGCGCGCGAACGACCGGCCGCAGCTTCCAAATGTGTTCGCAAATTCCGCAAAATCGTCCACAATAGCGAGAGGAACCGCGAAGTCCGCCCAGGGTAAAAACAGCTCGACGATCGAACGTCAGAACGGCAATGACGCGCCCATCGACATAACGAACGACAACGTCGTGGACATGTCGTCGCCCTATTCGCCGGGCTCGACCTTGAGCGACGGCCTCTTCGACCCGCCCAGTCCCGCGAATTTCAACAACTCGCCCGTGGCGAACGCGCCACCCTTGCCGCCGGCCGCCGCGAAGACCACCGCGCCGAAGGTGAACAAGAGTGCGGAGAAGAAAGACGCCTTCGACGCGCTGTTTACCGGGACGTTGCCGCCAGCCAAAACCGCCGCCACCAAAAACAGAAGCAAGAAGGTCGCCAAGGAGAAGACGAAAAAGTGTATGCATCTCTGTTAAAACGAGTTTTACTAGTACAGGATGTTTTTCCCTGGAAAAACCTAGAATTCTCAGCGAATTTTGTTCTACCTTGAAAAATCCTGGAATTTAATTTTAACTCTGGGAATTGTTAAAAAAAATTGCCCCTTTAATTTTAACATATAAAAATTTATTAGTTTTATATAAAGTATATATTAAAATTTATTTTATTATGATATAATATTATATTACATTATTATAGTAAAAAAATATTTTATTTATGTTAAAAAATTATGTATAACAAATAATTATTTCAAAATTGTATTCTAAATATTATTTAAAGTACTTTAATTTTACCTGGAAAATTATGGAATCTTCAGGGAATTCTAAAATTTGAGATTTGTAGTCATTGTTATACAGGGTGTCCCGGAATTCACGGATCAGCGTGTTGATGGTGATTTTTCCTCGGTAAAAATGTCGACGGAGGCCTCATTTTTTGTATTTGTTCCCAATTTTTATCATCAGGTATTTTTGCAAGCCTCAAATTAAAATTTCTATCTTAAATTAACGGAAGAATGTTGTTTTGTTAATACTTTATTTTCCCAAGATTTATTTATTGCGGTAAACTCTTTATTTTCAATCTCTTACAACTCGAAAATTATTGGTGCCTCGATATTTTCGCTGAGGAAAAATCGTCTCCAAATGATCCGAGGAATCTGCTAATTCTAGAACATCCTGTATATAGGATTCGATAGTGGACAGCAATATGTAAATTTTATTTAAAAAAAAAATGTTTTTCAGACCAAGGTTATAGAGTTAAAAAAAAAGATCTATTTATCCAGTTTGACTTTAAGCGTTGCTCAAGGTCAGGACAAGGTTACCTTGAATTTTCTTACATAAATTGATTTCTTGTAATATGCGGCATAAAAGAATAGGACCAAAAAGTGAATAGTTGACGAGATATTTTTTATAGTAAAAGACCTTTTAAAATTTTACAACTTGTTTGAAACATTTTTTTTTTTTTTTTACAAAATTTACGTTTTTCGAGATATTTCGCTGTTCCGCTACGATTTGATTTTCTGTACAAGTTTTATCAATATGTGATTTTTATATTTTTTTTACAGCTACTAATCCCAAAGTTGGTGTACGCATGGACGAGAATCAGCTCCAAATCCTTGATGATCTTCCTAGTTCTGCTGTAGAAATGCAAGTTAAAGACAAGGTACGTTAATATTGATATTGGTGCGCAAACTTTGCTTGAATCTTGTCAATTGCGCGAAAGTATATGTAACTGATATGTAACTTATGTGTTCTTATCTTTTATTTACAGTTTCTTAAGAAACTAAACCGACAAGAGAGAGTTGTGGAAGAAGTGAAATTAGTTCTCAAACCCCATTACACCAAAAAACATGTAACGAAAGAAGAATACAAAGATATCATGCGCAAAGCTGTACCTAAGGTAATTACATTCAATTCAATTCAATTGACAATAAAAGTTGTAAAAACAATATTACAAAATTAATATATATAATTAATTAAATTATTTTTTAAATTAATAAATTCCTAAATTTAATTGTACAACACAGATGACAAGAGAGAGAAATCTCAATTATGTTGCAGATATGCCATAATAAAACGGGCGAAATCAATCCTAAAAAGATAGCGCACTTAATAGAGGCATATGTAAGAAAGTGTCGAAACAAGAAGAAGACTTCTTCTTCCTCTACCGCCAAGATAACGAAACCTACGTAAGTAGAGCATGAAGACGATCATATAACTGTAATAAATATAAAGGATCTCACACAATCCTTATGGAAATTGGATTGACTAGTTTTTTTTATATGTTGTAATCTGCTGAACAAAGAATGTAATAGTCTAAAAACTATACATATATATATATATATATATTTTATATTAATTTTTTAATTTTTTAAAATCCTAAGTAGCAAATTGACGATATTAAACGTCAAAATCACGTCATTTGTACGTATTGTCTAATGACGTCATTCGATGTCAAAATGATGTATGCTTATTACCTGAGGAGTTTTATTTGATTGGCTGTAACTCAATATTTATTCATTATTTAGTTTTGAAGCTACTCCATCTTTTATTCAGCAGATCATAAACTACAATACAGGGTGTTCCATAGGAAATTGTTGCAACTAATCGCTGTCATTTTTAATGCATGCAGTTATTGAGAAAACAAAAATTGTGTCGAAAAGAGGAAAGTCTACAATTTTTCAGTTTATTTTATTGAAAAAAAGTACTGAAAAAGTGCTAATAATTACATAAACTATGATAAACATTTTTAACAGTGCCACATTTAATAGCAGCTATTAAAAGAATCATCAATAACATAAAAATACATTAAAAATGACAGATAATTAGTTTCAGCAATTTCCTATAGGAGGACACCTTGTATATGAAAAATTAGCCACTTCCATCAAAATTCAATTTCCATGCAAATTGTTCAAGGTCCTTTTTCATATATTTTTACTTATATTTTTATTTATCCTTTCATGTTTAATTTTAATATATTTTATATTTCACGTATAAATTAAATTATCCTTTTTTTAACGATTGTATGTGAAACTTGTAGGAAAACTCTATGGAGTTGATCACGTATTGGCAATCCTAGCGCATTAGAAATTTCTTCATCGTTAGGCGCCTCTTCTTAAATCTTACAGCACACATTCTATCTTCTGAATGGTAAGTAAAAAAATCAAGCAACGTATATATTATACATATACAAATATATTATTGACGAGCGCAACATGTATTGTGTGTACATACATAATTCATTAATTATAATTGTATAAGCGTAATATTTTTATTTATCTGTTTACATATGTGAGAAAGAAAGAGAAAGAGAGAATGAATAATGTGTGAATGCGATACGATATTATTGATAATATCCACGAAAAAAAATTTTGTTTCCAAATTCGGATTTGGAGTTCTCGATCAACGATCCTCAAATTAGGAAAATAATATAATAGTGTACGATAAGATCATATTTAAGGATTGCAATCCCTGGAGAGAAGAAAAAGGAAGAGTGATCAAAAGCAATTTGATCTATTTCTTACCTTCTCTTCCTCTTAACTGTGTTTATTTTTCTGGAGCAACACATCTGTGCTGTAAAATTAGATTCTTACACTTAATATTATAAGAGAATATGGCCTGCGGAAGAAATCTTTTTCATAAGAGCGAGATAACATATATGATGGAAACTTGATTTACTACTATTTATATGTTGTAAACGAATGATTTTATTACACACATACACACGTTTTTCATTGATCAGCGAAAATTCAATGTAAATATATCAATCACGTCAAAAAATGATCAATTGTTTTTATCGATTATTATTAGCAAACATTATTATTGTCATACATCATCATCGTCTATGATTTGCGTTTCTCTTTCACTGATGTTTGCGTGTCTGTTTTTTTCCAAAGAGAAATCTTTATGTTATGTTTACAAAATCAAAGAGAGAGACTCATTTATATATGTATATACAGAGTGTTCCATAGAAAAACTAATCAGCTGTTGTGTTTTAATGTGTGCCGTTATTGAGAAAATAATTAAAATAAATTTAAAAAAAAATTAAAAATAAATTAAAAAATGACAGCTGATTAGTTTTAGCATTTTCTATGGAACACCCTGTACATTCATTGGAGGAAAAAATGCATTCTGTCTTGTGGATATCATATTCTCGCAGCTCAATATATAATTATGCATTATCACATTACACACGCACGCGCACACACACACGCACACACACACACACACACACACACACACACACACACACACACACACACACACACACACACACACACACACATATATACATACATTGATACTAATGAGATACAGAATTGTAATTGAGAATGATAATTGAATTGTGTTGAAAGAAATTATGAATGTTATTTCTTAAGAAGATGGAATGCGAAGAAATCATCGTCGTAAAACCCTCACTTTTTGAAAGACACTCGATGTTTAAAAAAAATGTGCAGAATGTGTAATGCGTTGAAATATAGAAATGTAATCGTCAATCGTGAGTTTTTACGTCGGTAGTAAAATAAAATCTTCTATTGCATACAAAGATCTTAATAGAATACAAACAGTGTATGTCCGTTTCAAAGATTACGATTGATATTTCTTTATTGGATAAGAACGTAATATTAATTTTTTAACTATAAAAAAATATGGTTAGCCATTACATGTTTTTTTTTCAATTTTAAAGAAAAAATGTATAATTTATATTGAAAACGGGCATTATCTGTGGAAATTTAAATATTTAAATTGTGTTATATAAATATATACTTGTGAAATTCTGTTGTACATTTCACCATCGGATTATATGCTCATGTATGAAATGTTACATGGATAAGTTTTATACTTTTTATGCGTAATAGTGGAAATTGCATCCTCTTTGATGTGTGTGTATGTGTATATGCATATGAGAGACACTGGCTGATGAATTTGAGAGAAATATATGACGATCTTTATTATAGAATATTCAGTAAAATGATGTTAAATCCATGTCCTTCAGTACGTTCGAGAAAAGCTCGTTAATTCTTGTGTGTATGAACTCTCTTTTGTACTAAATAGTAATGTATATAAACGAAAGGAGAATAAAGAGTTTAATATTATCGAATTTGCTTATTTAATTAGTTTGAGCTCATATAAATGGCATTACTAAGGTCATTATTTTGAATGTTTTAAATGAAACTGTATCATTATGCATATATATGTATAAATCGATTCCTCACAATATTCTGCACAAAAAATTATAAAATATATATTTTTATTTATTTTATATATTTTATTTTATTTTATTTTTTCAAAAAATTTTTTGTGGATGATTAATTAAAATAGGACACCCTGTATATATAAATGTCATGTGTGTAATAAAAAAATTAATTTGTTTAATATATTAGAAAAAAATTATTTAATTTTTTTATGATATTTATTTAATTTTTTCTAATATTCTTAAAAAATTTTTTTATTACACGCGTGACATTTATATATACAGGGTGTCCTATTTTAATTGATCATTCACAAAAAAAATTTTTGAAAAAATAAAATAAAATATATAAAATAAATAAAAATAATAAATAATTATTTTATTTTTTTATTACACGCGCGGCATTTATATATATACAGGGTGTCCTATATTAATTGACCATATACAAAAAAAAATTTTTTAATAAAATGAAAAATAGAATATATACTTAATTAATTTTTTCTAATATATTAAAAAAATTAGCAGACTAAAACAGATACTTCTCGCAAAAGCTTAGTTAGAGAAAACTAAATTTTGAATTCACACAAAGATGCAAGTGCAAGATACAACAGAACACGAATGCAAAGACATCACACACGTGCAATGACGTACATATGGAATGAAAAAGTAATAAACTAAAATACACGCGTTATGTTAAGTATAATTCGGCAAACAACAAATCTCCTTCGTCGCGAAATCGTGAGTAAGAAACAAATAATTCTTTCAGCGAAATTTAGGGTAGAAACTGTAGTTCTAAAAATAAGGTTATGTTGAATTATGCATAACAATAAATTTTTATACAGATTTTCTGCGAATAATTCTCAATCGTAATATAACATGTTCTCTTTATTAAATTTAATTCAATCCGGTTTAATTTAATTTTTAATCTCGGGATTTTCTCAATCAAATTTAATTTCTAACCTTTAATTTCTAATTTTAAAGAAATTGTGACAAGTAAACGATTTTTATTATATTATTGTTTATTTATTATGTTTATTATATTTATTTTTATTTATTTATTGTATTTATTATTTTTATTTTTATTTATTATATTTATTATATTTATTTTTATTATATTTATTATATTAATTTTTATTTATTACATATATTATTTTCCTCATCATCGTTTCAGACAGGGGGATACAAATTCAGGAGCATTGTAAGAGGGGCTTGGACGGAGGTGAAAATGACAGATCAGTTAACAGCGAGGAGCAATCCTGTCATCATGAGGCTGGACTCTCCGGAATTTCGCTCGGTCTTCACCCCGGAATTAGAGAGCTTGGCGAGTTTATTCCACAGATATAACTATGAGCTGAGAATCGCCGGCGGTGCCGTGCGCGACATCCTCATGGGCAAGCAGCCCAAGGATCTTGACTTCGCAACTGATGCCACTCCGCTGCAAATGAAGGAGATGTTCGCGAAGGAGGAGGTCAGGACGATTAACGAGAAGGGGGAGAAGCACGGGACGATAACCGCGAGGATAAACGACAAGGAGAACTTCGAGATCACCACCTTGCGAATTGACGTTCTGACAAATGGACGTCATGCCCAGGTGGAGTTCACCAAGGATTGGAAGCTGGACGCGAACAGGCGAGATCTGACCATCAACTCCATGTATCTCGATCTCGATGGCAAATTGTATGATTATTTCTATGGCTATGAGGACCTGCAAAGGAAACGAGTGGTCTTTGTGGGTGACGCTGGCCTCAGGATACGTGAGGATTATCTTAGGATTCTTAGGTACATCCTGAATTCGTGTCTATCGATATAAGATTTATCAGAAATTTTATCTCCATGATTATATATAATAATATAATATAATGATGTAATAGAATAATATAATAGAATAATATAATAGAATAATATAATAATAAGTGTAATGTAACATATCTCCTTAAATTGGTGCAATTTAGTTTAGTTTCAATCTCAGGATTTAACTGTCAACTTTAATTGTTAACTTTTAAGTTTTAATTTTAATTTGAGATATTAAAGTTAATAATTAAATAGTTAATAGATGTTATAGGTGTGAATTTTTGAAAAGGACCACAACCCGATGGTCGAAACGTAAAATAAAATTTCATCGAATTTTTGAAGCCAGTGTAGTCAATTAAATTTATTATCCGGATATTAACAATTAAAGTTGAAAATTGAATCCTGAGATTAAAACTAAACTGAACCGAATTTAATTTAAAGAGATATGTTACATATTACAATATTATTATATTATATTATATTATCATATTATATTCCTCAGACAACACTGTCAATTTCCAGTTTCAAGGTTTATTTAATTTACAGGATGCAATAAAAATGTGGACTCCTCTACTTGAGGAGAATATTTTGCTCATTGAAATAAAAAGTTCATATTATGGGTCCAAAAATAATTTTTTAATTAGTTCCTTTGTTCTGAAAATTATTTGTTCATTTTGTTAAAGGATGAATTATTTTATGATACGATGAGAATTATTTTCTACTGCTTTGTATTGTTCGTTGGAAAGAAAATAATACATTTCGTGATTATTTTAAGTTTCAATCCAAGACTGTAAAGTAAAAACGAAGCATTTTTGGACACATGTTTGTATGAACTTTTTGCTCGTTTCAATGAATAGAATAAGCTCCTGAAGTAGCAACTCAGATTTTTCTTACACCCTGTATACGATTTTTTTTTCATGTGATTTATAACTCTAACTTTATACACACAAAAAATTAAAAAAATAATTTTAGAAAAAAAATATTTTTTTTATTTTTAAAAATAATCAAGTAAAATCAAATAGCAAACTGACGTCATTAAACGTCAAAATGTCAATTTGACGTCTAATGACGTCATTCGACGTCAAAATGACGTATGCTTGCTACATATATTTTTTTATAGTTTTGGATAGAATATATTTGAGATTTATTATATCAGATTGCATCATTTAACAGGTACTTTCGTTTCTACGGAAGAATAATGGACAATCCTGACCAGCACGACGAGGCCACAATAAAAGCAATAAAGGAGAACGTTGACGGTCTGTCACTAATATCCGGCGAGAGAATCTGGAGCGAATGGAGCAAAATCCTGACGGGAAATTTCGGCCTGGAGCTGACTTTGAAGCTGCTGGAGTGCGGCAGCGGCAAATACATCGGTCTTCCCCAGGAACTCGTCGTGGAAAATTTTCGAATCGTTTATCAGCGCGCTCGGTCCAATGACGTGACCTTGAAACCCGTATCCTTGATCGTGTCGATGCTGAAGAACGAGAACGAGGTGATGACGCTGCACGGGAGACTAAAGCTGTCCAACTCCGACAGAGACCTGGCGTTATTCCTGGTGCAGCACCGGGAATACATGCCCTGCGAGACCCCGTTGAAGCCTTATCAGAGACTGATCTTCGTCCAGCCGGCCAGCAAGCACGAGCTCTATCGAGAATTCGTGAAGGAGGTGCTGAGGTACCGCGGCGCGACGGACCTCCTGGACGAGCTCGAGCGATGGAAGATCCCGAGGTTTCCCATCAATGGGAACGCGATGAGGGAACGAGTGGCCAACCAGAAGCTCATCGGCGAGGTTTTTATTCACTTGAAGAATATGTGGGTCGACGAGGATTTTAAGCTCACCGAAGAGCAGCTTCTCGAGCAAATACCGCGCATACTCGACGGATTGGAAGAAAAATGGATGAAAAATCCGAAGTATTTCAAAAAGAAAGTCAAATAAATATTTTCTAAACAGATTTGAAGGAGCTTTGTTTATGTGTCCGCAACAAATACTGTTATCGATCTAGAAATAGAAATTTTGTAGATTAAGGCTGTCAGATTGTGACGTTACAGACGAGGAAGCCTAAAGTCATCTGAAGCTGAAGTGTTTTATCAGAATATTGTTTTATTTCAAAGTGGCATCTAAGAATGTTTATCGTGTATTTTCTTAAATTAAAAATAACAAAATATTTTATAAAAAAAATAAAAGAGTTTTTGCAGAACTCTTTTTTGATAAAAATTATCTCAAATAAAATAGATATTTGTGCATATAAAGAGAGATAGATTTTGGAAACTATCTACATCGTAAATACAAACTTAATTGTATGAACACTTATTAGTTTCTTGAATATGTTTCTGAAAAGCATAAAAAGAAAAAGTTTGTTATATTAGGCACTCAAAATTTTATTAGGGAATAAAATTCTGCATTTCGTGAATATACTTATAAATCCTATAAGATGTGCTGTACGAAACGAAAATTTGTAAAGCCGCTGAAACAAATCAATTTAAACGATACGACAAGAAATTTAATGTGTGTGTGTGTGTGTGTGTATATATATATATGTATATATATATACATGCGCAACGAATCACTCTATATAATATAAATGTATATAATATAAATTTATAAATGTAAACTTATATAATATTTTACATTTTAAATTTATATTACATAAATTCATATTTTATGTAATATAAATAACGTAATATGAAATATAAAAAGGCTGTGTACGTGATAAACGTTACTACATATTTAGTATATCGGAGAAAAGATCACATCACACTGGGTTAGAAATAATTTATATACAGATTGTCTCATAAACTAATCAGTCGTCATTTTTTTAATGCATGCAGTTATTGAGAAAACAAAAATTGTGTTGAAAAGAGGAAAGTCTACAGTTTTTAATAGATATAAATAAAATGTTTATATACTAATTTATTTTATTGATAAAAAGTAATGAAAAAAGTACTAATAATTACATAAACTAATGATAAATATTTTCGACAGTGCTAGATTCAATAGCAACTATTAAAAGGATCGTCAATAACATTTAAAAATGACGTGTAAGAAAAAGTTTTACGAGTTTTCGTAAAGAACAGAATTTTGTACAAATTCAAATAGTGTGCACTTTTTGAAAATATTTATCATTAGTTTACATATGTGATTATTAGCACGTTTTTATTACTTTTTATCAATAAAATAAACTAGCATACTCACATTTTATTTATATCCATTAAAAACTGCAGACTTTCATTTTTGTTTTCTCAATAACTGCATGCATTAAAAATGACAGCTGATTAGATCCAGCATTTTCCTATGTGACCCTGTATATAAAATAAAGATATATACTTTTTTACTTTGTTCTTAGAAAAAAAAAACTCTTTGTGTTGACTTACGCCTGCTTATGGAATGATTAAAAACGCGTATCTTTGAGGGGAATATATACATATATTTATATATATGTATATGTGAAAAATTAAGCAAAAATAAGAAGAAAACTAACAAGATACACATATCAGAAACGAATGATCTAAATTCGATCAGTAAAAAATGCAGTCGCGGCAGAATAAACAAGATAATTTACATCTCGCTCGGCTATCATATACAATCATGTTGACTTGCATAAAAATAATCACTTATATGTATTTTGGCTATCTCTCTTAAATTACATTTTAGATCGTCTCTAAACACTCAGATCTTTACAGACGCATACGCATTTTTCTGCTACTGCATTAAATGCAATTCCAGGTAGCAAACATCATTAGACGTCAAAATGACATTATTTTGACGTTTAATGACGTCAGTTTATTACTTGGGATATATATATAATGTATATGTATATAAGAGTAATACAACAGCTATTTAAGTTATCGATATACCCACATCTTGATACACGTTTTTATTCCTTTACACATTTTGTAATAGACACTTTTTGATAGCGTTACATTCTCTGTGTTTCGCTCTTTCTGATCTCACAGGTGAATTAATTTAAAAGCGTTGTGATAGCGTTGTTTTTTTCCTATCATATGGCAAAGATTCAAAAGATTTATTGCCTTAACCCTTCCGTGATGATGATACATGAATCATCTCACATCATACTAGTCAACAATATTATCAGCTATAATTATCTTTTAGAAGGGTTAAGATCTCAAGAAAGTGAGAGATCAATTTTGAAAAGAGTGAACATCTAAAAATCCTGGCCCTTTGAGTATGCAGGTGGATGAGTAAATCATTAAGGAGCTAAAATATATAGAGAATAATATGATTAAACCTCAAAAGAAAGTATTCTCCTTCGTTTTAATTAATCCTGCATAATCAAAGAGGGATATCTTCGGAACTATCAGGAATACATATAATTATTATTGCACTTTACATAATATTTTACATAAACTATTCTTTAAATTATGTATAAGAATACTTTATCATATAATTTTCTTCAAGAGAATTATGCAAGCTAGATATATTAAATTAAGGATTTTGTTAAAGAGAAATAAGTATCCATAAAAATGGTTGATGATCTTTAAATGAACACATCAAAGAATCTCATTTATATCTAGAAAATGTATAATTCTCTCGAATTAATTAAGCTACTAAATTATTGGATAAATTTCTAACGGTTTATAATTGCCTACAAAAAAACTTTTAAGTAAATGATACATTCAATTTCACGGATATATATATAAAATTATACAAGTAGATATTACATATTTGTTTTACTCAGAACAAAAAATGAATTTTCATAGCCAATTCAGAATCGTTCTAATTTCGTTATCCTATGTGATATATCTTTCCAAATTATTAAATCATTGTAAATATAAATTTTTAATGTTAATTCACACTTCTGTGATTATCAATTTGAATGATGTTTTCAATACGATTTTAAATACTGAATACTCTTTGCATTATTCACTTTGCACAAATGCGTATATATAAATAATGATATATAAATTACATAAATAATTTAATTAAATATATTCCTGAGATTGCATGTCAAACAAATATTTATTGAAACAAGAGTCATTATTATATAAAAACTCAACAAAGATTAACTTTCTTTGGGGATGTATTTGCTTATTAAAAAAGGTATAGTTTTTTCTTTTCATGTAAATGAGTTGATATATATGTATATATATATATTAAAGCATTTAATGGGCGAAAGATTCTTGTTGCGAAAGATTTACAAATACAAAAATCTAATAAATAGTAATAATCAAGATTGCAGATAATTTATGTTTTATATGTATATATATAATTTGTTCATGTGAACTTATGTTAATAGAAACTTTGGTTTACTATTTCATCATATTTTAGTGCAAATATATTTGCTAATACTATTATGTAAGGAATACTCTCTGTTTCGTCACACAACTGATACAATTAAGTAACTTAAGTAACTTAGGTATTGTCTCACTAATATAAAAACATATGTGTCGACTTATTCATTTGAAACCTAGATCTCGCGTTTATTTCGTTTATTACTAATTGCATTGTTAGTTAATGCAATGCATTGTATTACTGTTATATTTAAGTCGCGTTTACTATGAACACGTTACAACGTTAAAATATACATAGCCTGTGCACATACTAGTTTCTTACTTATTACGGAGTTGCTATAGTTATTCATTTATAAGATATCATATTTTTTTTTACTTCCATAAGATGGTCAAAGAGAGAGCTGCCACCATCGTAATGCATGTTCAAGCATATTTCAAACATGCCTAACGCGTTTCGTGACATTGGGCGTACAGATATAATAAGTGTAACTTACAAGTGGTCAACAATAAGAAGCACAGTTTAACAAATAACTTCCTTCTACATCTTGCCATGAAAACTTACTCTATGACCAACGCGCTGCCCAGCGACCTATCCGCGAATGAAGTTCTTCTTTAGTCTGCAAAGGATGATCACAGTTCAAATGTTACACAAGTTGTTGAACAAAATCAAATTTTTGTATAAATTGAAGAAACAAATATTTAAATAAATCTAAGATTGTATATTTTACGTACCTCGGTACATTATTCATCAGAATCAGAAATATATTTATATAAAATGCATCTCGCCCCTAGTAGCAAACTGACGTCATTTTGACATCATAACGTTATTTTGACATCTAATGACGGCATTGACGTCATTTTGACACCTAATAACGTTATTTTGACATCTAATGACATAATTTTGATATCTATGATGTCATTTTAGCATCTGACGTCATTTTGACATTCAATGACGTCATCGACGTCAAAATGACGTATGCTTGCTGCTGAGGTCTTATATTTTTTAATTAGTTAGTATTAACGTAATAAACGAAAACACACAAAAATTTATGAAAGAGTGCAATAAAAAATGGAAAGATGACTTTGCTGTCAGATTGGCAAAATTACCTTTAAGTAAAACTGATGGTGAAAATAATATATCTTGTTCTGAAAAATTATCCTAAATCATCTTCTTTCGTAAGTAGCTCGCTGTGCATCCAATGGAAATACATTTTGGTATTGACTATGGATGACTTTTAGTAAGCTGGGGCTTGAAAGTCACCCATACCCCGTTGCTGCTGCTGCTGACCGAACGGCGGTTCTTGGTAAGCAGTGTCAGTAGCATCGGGATAACTTGTATATCCTGTACCGCCGACAGGATCTGCTTCGTAACTCGGAGCGAATGCCGCATCGGTGCCTTGTTTAAATCTTTGAAACGCAAACCAAGCACAACCAGCCTGTAACATTGTTATAAGATATATATATATATATAAAATTCTAAGGCAAGTTTGTAGAAGTTTAGCTATCACACATGACAACTCTGTATATACATAGATATATATCAATAATTCAATAGAGATTAAAACTGTCGCGTATTCATTGACTAAACTTGATTCAACCTACCCAAGTAAAGATGGAGAAAAATGAGAATGCGATAGCCGCTTGCAAATTATTCACACCGTATCCATCCTTCGGTCTTTCAGATTTGTTCCATGCATTCGTCAGGTAACAGAATCCCACGAAGTACAGGAAAGACCAGAAGCCGGAGAAACTAGAATATAAATAATATTAATATAGCACGAAAATTACACTTAAATCCAAGTGTTTTAGAACAGAAGCTTTGCTGTAATCACTTTCTTTGTCAAATACACAATTATAATAATTTTCTAACATTCAAAGATAATGCGTAGCTTACCCCAAATCTATAAGAACAAAATGTTTCCTAGTTTTGACAGACGACATTTGTTCAAACAGGTATTCGCCCGCGAGGAATCCGATACTGGCTAAAAATGCCAGTACTCCAATGCCAACTCCATAATTGCATGCATTATTGTCGTCATTGTAAAGACAGACTTCCTTTCCATCTTTTGGAAGATATCCCTTGCTGCTTATACATCCAAAGACAATTATTGCGAAAAGCTGAAAGAACAAAAATGTATGTATGTAGGACAATCTAAATAAAAATTTTAAAAATAAAGATACATCACTATATATAAGATATATAAAAGCTATTTGTATGCAAATTAAGGACGTGAATGATTAAACAAATGACAGCATGAGTGAAATTGTAATAAGAGAAAATAATTTAAGATTTAAATACATGACATCCTGACCAAAATGTCTAAAGATTTGTTCAAAAAAATATAAAATAAAGTCAAATAAAATATAAAATAAAATATAAAATAATAAAATAAAATAAAATAAAATAAATAAAATAAAATAAAATAAAATATAAAGTAAAATATAAAATAAAATAAAAATTCCTATAATTCAGAAAATTCATAATTCCTGAAATATCTCATTAAGCTTGATGTATCTGAGAAAAAAAAAAACAGAGGGACAAGGTCGGGGAAGATTAAATAACGCTGAGAGGGCAAAACGGGGCGATCTGTCAAATAGACCTGTCAAAAAAACCGCGCGAAAAATTCGATCCAGCCCTCGAGGCTCGACTGGTATAAAATCCATCTTATCCATTTAAAGGTCGAACGCCATAAGAGACCCCATGAAACGTACGGGAGGCGTACGTAGGAATTTGCGAAAAATCAATAGAACCCCATCGCAGGGGCGAGAAGGGGGAGGAGAGGGGGAGGAGCCGAGGAGGAGGAGGAGGACCGAGGACTCTCTCTTTTAAAATCAATGACCATCATATCCGCGTCGTCGTCGTCGTCGTCGGGCTCGTATCCACGGTATCGCATGGTTTTGACGTTGAGGGCGACGTCGCCTCCTGGTTGCTCTCTTTAGGACGACTTACCAGGCTAACCGCTCTGAGAATGACCTGCGGTCTCTGAACGAACGCGATCGGATCGAAAGGGGCCCCGGCCTTTCCGCCGCCGTACGCTCCGCCGTCCATCTTAACGCGACTGAGGCGGAGATTTTCAAAGCTCACGCAGCATGCGAGCGCGCACGCGCAGCCGCCTCGCCGCCGACGAAGAGGTGGGGTGGTTATATAGGGGCGATTATGGGGGCGCTGCAAGCGAGAGACAAAAATTTCGGAGGAATTATTTTTTATAATTATATTGTAATGGGAAAATAATTTAAACTAATATTTTAATATTTTAAAATAATATCGAAATATAAATTTAGATTATTTTGAAATAATTCTTATTCCTAATATATTTTAATATTTATTCCTAATATTTAAAAATATATTAGGAATAGAAATAAATATATGAAGAATAAAAAATATGAAATATGAATATATGAAAATATAAAATAGAGATAAAAATAAAATAGAAAATTGGGAATAAATATTAAATATTTAAAAATAGGAATTATTTTTAAATTATATTTTAATAGGAAAATATTTTAAATAACATTTTAATAGGAAATTGTAAAATAATAAAATCGAGAAGAGCCAAATTTGTATTTTTAAATTATTATAAGAGTCCTTTCGACTATTTTAAATTAAAATAATATTTGTTATTTAATTTTATTATTTTGAAATAATTCTTATTCCTAATATATGTATTTAATATATTTATTTCTAATATTTAAAAATATTGGGAATAGAGGAATAAATATGAAATATTAGAAATATGAATATTTGGAAATAAAATATAGAGAAATAAAAATAAAACTAAAAATAAAGATTATATATATATATATAAGCGCGCGATAAAAAAGAATAAAATATAAAATATTAAATATATAAGAATTTTGTGTATCTTATGCAGCCGCATATAATACAGACAAAAATATTATATTTATATTTTAGCTTATAAATTTAAATAAATATAGATTTTAGACATTGTGTTAATCAATTATACAGTCAAGAAAAATCTTTAATTTCAGATGAATAAAATTTTTATCATGTTTAATTTTTCAAATCTACGAATTTTACATATATATTAAAGAGGAAAAGACATAAGTTTTTTTGAGAAATAGACGATAGATGTATTCATACTATCAATTTACAAAGAGATAGACATCTAGACGATTTTTGGATTTTTGTGAGTTTTAAAAATAACGCAGACCTCTTTTTTCTACTATATATTAGATATGATAACTAAAATGTATAATCTTTGAAAAAAAAAATTTTTCCTTTCTGGTTAAAAATAGTTTAAGAAAATCTTTAACTCCAGAGCAATGTTTATAATGATTCTAAAATATATATTTGATTTTTTATATAACATATTTATGCAAAAAAGTTGGAAAATACTTTTTAAACATTCAAAATTAAATGATTTTTAAATAAATATTACAGTAAACTTTAAGAAAAAATACAAAAAAGAATTATTATTCTAATTATTGCAGTTAATTTTAAATAATATTTAAAATAGTCTTCTCTGAGTAACTTTTGAAAAGTTTGAATATATAGCAAAATAATTAGTATTATAAAATTATTTTGATTTAATAATATTAGCCTGTAAAGCCTGTTAATAAAAATATTTATATATTTTTAGAAAATCTCAAAAATAAAAAAGTAGCAACTTATAATCTATATAATAGTTATCCACAATCATACATCTTTGTACATTTTATAAAACTTTTATCTTGAAAATCGCTTAAATAATATATATGTTGCAATGCATAATCCACCAATTGAAATGGCATAAAATACATAAGAATATTTTTGGTCACTCTTAGGCTGTAAAAAAATTAAATTTAGTTTAGTTACATGTTTGTGAGAATAAAATCACAAATTCAATTTATAATTATCAGAATTGCACTAAACCTTGAATTTATTATTGCAAAATATTTAATTACTAAACATTACTTAACATTTTTTTAAATATTCACATTAATTTAACAAATGCATAAAAATATAACAGACATTTAAATTGTGATAGATACATACCATAATTATCACAGCTTTTAGTTCTTCCAATTGTAATTCAGTCTCATTAACTTCTTTAAGAATAGAGTCGGCAACAAGGCATAAAACTTTGGAAGTTCTTAAAGCTTTATCAGGTTCGATAAAAGAATTGATACTCTTTTTCTGTAACTTTAATCTGCAATATGCTATAAAAGCTTCAACTACATCAAACTGTGTCTTTCCTATTTTCAATATTTCTATTTTATTAGGTAGACTGTAAAAAAAAAAACAAGAATTAAATTCAATATTATATTATATGTAGAAGAGAATAAATAATTAATAACTTAGTACTTTTCATGAGGTTTTATCTTCGCACTTGAATTCTTAATATATAGAGTATCGAACATATTTTTTGCAAGCTGTTCATCAGCACCTAGAAAATCAAACAATTAATAATTATTAGTATTTAAATAATGTTTCTAAAATTTTAAGTGTGCAATTACTGTACATATTAGAAATATAAGAAAACTAGTATATAATCTCTCTATATATTTAATAAAATTAACTTATTTCTTTCACATTATAATTTTATAATATGTAATAAGTAAATTTTAACAAAGTATTTTTCTTATTGGATTTTTATAGAAAAATTATGTAAATATATTATAAATATGTAAAAAAATTACATATCAAAATTTAAATCTCCACAAATAAAATATTCTGGCACAAAACTGATACAAATTATTTCATCATTTAAGTGTAAACATATATTATTACCAAGTTGCATGAAATCCTCCTTAGTTAATCTATGCAAGACCTTACTGGAAATATCTCTTTTTTTAAATTCCTCTATCAAATTATCAGCTCCTACGCCGCATAATAACGCCTCGGTTTGGTTGCTAAATCCAAAAGGATTGTATTTCACATCCATGTCAAAGAATCTTAGCAAGGTTTCACTTCATCCATGAAAAATTGTCAACAGAGAATTTCGGTGCAAAAAACGACAAAATCCGTATTAACTAAATGAATATTAAAATATTAAAAGATTATAAATTTATAAATATATATATAATATATATAATATATATGTGTGTATATATATATATATATATATATATATATATATAATATATATGTGTGTATATATATATATATATATATATATATAAATATTATTTAAGATTTTAATATATATATATATATAATATATATATATTAAATATATTTATAATATATATTTGTAAATATTATTAACATATTAATTATATAAAAAAGGGATAATTTACCGCTTCAATTCCACATAAATCTTAATATAAAATATCTTCGAAAGGGCGAAGGACCTCGCACAGGACTTTGGACGAGAGAAATGTGTTGTGTCGTAGAAAAACGTCACCGACCAATCACGATCGAGCATCGAGGCAGCCCTAACCTTAATGCTCGACTGTGATTGGTCGATTGACTTAAGAACAGCTGATTTGAAATAGCACAGCTGATTCCTCGAGGATATCGGGTCTGTTTACTTTATTCTTTGTTTTTTATCCTTTTTGTACATATTTGATTATGCGAGGTAGATGTGTTAATTAGTTTAGTAATTAATTAGTTAATTAGGAAGAAGTAGAGACCAAAAGCGAACTTAACCTCACTTTTGTGTGTTTTGCTGTTCCAAGTTACATAAAGGTATTATTAGGTCTGTTTGTTTTAGCTGAATTAGCTGCACTAATTCAGATTTTATCTTTTTTCTTTCAGCGTAGTGTAAAAAAAAATAAACTCTGAACTAGCGCAGCCAGTTCAGCTGAAAAGAACAGACCTTTTGTTAGCTGCGATAGTATGTAGTAGTTCACCAATGCAGCAATGAAAGACAAACTTTTTCTTCCTCAACATTGGAAGAAAAAAGATTTTTTTTATTGGAAAATTAAAAAGGTAGGCCTTGGCGGAGCCATTTGGCTAGGGAAGGAAAAAATAAGATGAACTATAAACTAGCACTAGATTTTATCTTTTTTCTTCCAACACAGTAAAACAAAATAAATAACAAATAAACTCTGAACTAGCGCAGCCAGTTCAGCTGAAAAGAGCCAATATTTTGTTTTATTTTAATTTAATTACTGCATTAGTAGTTCACCAATGCAACAATAAAAGACAAACCCTTTCTTCCTCAACATTGAAAGGAAAAGGATAAAATAAACTTTGAACTAGGACATCCAGTTCAGCTGAAAAGGACAAATCTTTTGTTTCGCTTTAACTTACTGCGCTAGTATACAATAGTTCACAAATACAGCAATAGAAGACAAACTTTTCCTTCTTTAATATTGGAAGGAAAAGGATAAGATGAACTGGCGCAGCTGAAAAGAACAGATTTATTTATATTGTTGTATTCCAACAGAAATCATCCAACGCAATGGAGCCCGAAGACATAGATGAGTCTAACCAGTCCAAGCCAGTGATGCTGTTTGGTCGAGATATCAGGAAGGTTCCCTGCTTCAAGCGTAGTATGTTGAACGGCATCTATAGTGGCTTAGCAACTGGCCTGGTCACCTTCATGCTGACGAGTCGCGTCAGGTTTTCGACCAACATGGCCCTGGGATCCTACATGGGTGTCTCTGTAGTTTACTGGTGCTACTGCAGATACGATCATGTGATGCAAAAGTACGCCTTTAATGATATACAATACATTATGCGGCAAAGATCAATGGGTATTAAAGAGGAAGACGATGAAACCTTCCAGCAGCAACCAAAAAAGCTAGTCGATGCTTGAGACATTCTGTATATCTTGTTCCGAGAACTTTGAGAATTATTAGCGACCAGAACAGATATATCGTGGAATGTTTCATTACGCAGAAGACAATGCAATGTGTAATATATAGTTTATTGTATTATTTATGAAATGTGTATCTAAAAAGAGCTGTCTGAAGCTTCTTATTGACAACTTTTGTTTCAACAAATTATATACATAATATTTATGTATGTAATTTGTATTTGTGGAATTGTTGGTCTGTGCGATTCAAATGTGTATATATATATACGCAGAAATATATGATACACTAGACATAAATAATTTTATACTAATTGATACAAGCTCCTAGATTTCAATAGTGTACAGTTCAATTGTCATGTAACTTAATCAATGCGTGATTGTTACACAATTTTATTAAGACAAGATGTAATTGATAGTTAATCTTTATTAATTTAAAAATATTTTAATTATTTTTAATACAAAAATAAGATACTACATGTACAAATTGTAGAATAAAATAATATTGTACTATACATATTTAATATTTTCTTGAATATTCAACATTTTAGGCAATGATAAAATCTAAATTCTCATTTCAATTAGTATGTTAAAAACTAGTTTTAATTTATATAAAATATGCAATTTTTCATGGTCTGCAAACGTTTTTACACATTTTTTATTATTGCGCGAAAAATTATATCTGGTAAATAATTTAATATATCATTCTGTAGCACATCAAGCTTTTGTTAGACGAATTTATTATGACTGTATTCCCATATAAAAAAAGAATGTAAACAGTAGAACGACCTTTAGAACTTCGCGAGCAAAGTGTTGAGTGTTCTCGGCGCTACAGGCATAACGTGTATTGCTTCAACGTAAATAAAATGTCCGGATTTACTGAAACTAATGTCTTAATCGGGTTGAAATAAATTAACGAAAAATTCTAATAAACATATCAATTGTAATGTCAAACGATACGAGCGACGATGAAACGGGTCTGCAAACGCCACAGGTGTTTCCCAAAACGGGATCAGGACAGGTCTCTCATTGCAGCTGTAACTCAGGTAAGATGCAAGGTGTTAGAAAAAAATTAATCAATTAAAGTATCAAGATATAATTTCGCGACAATTAAGTGTGTCCTTTCAAAGTTATGCGCAGTCCGATCAGTCCTAGCTCGTCCGTCTCGAGTTCCATGATATTCGGACAGATCACCGACGATGTGCTCCGTGCTTGGAGTCAATTGCCGGAGGCGATCCGCCTGGACCCCAGGTTGGCGGTTTTTCAGAGGGAATGCGACCGAATAGCGGAGGCAAGGTGAGAATAAAAAATATGCAAGTGTAAAACGATTTTAGTGTTTTAACGATAATACATCTTATTCCCGTCAGATCTGTGGATTGCATGAAGAATAAGGACTGCCTGATTGTGAATATGTGCTCGCATCTTGTGACGCAAACTAGGTGAATTGCTGCCCAGACGACACCAAAAACGAAACATGTCACAAAATCGGGACATAAGATGTCTCAGGTAGCAAACTGACGTCATTAAATGTCAAAATGACGTAATTTTGACGTCTTTAATGACGTATGCTTGCTACCTGGGATGTCTATTATAAATATCATAAAACTATTTCTAGATCCATTAATATAATAGACTATTCTAAAGTCTATTAATTATAGATATTATCATAAGACTTCTTTAAGATATTTAAAAACTTCTTAAAGATGTCTTAGAAACTTCTTATGTCCTAATTTTGGATATAGTGCTATCTGGGTATATTTTATATGTTTGATACCCAAGTGGCTGATTTCAAGGAAAAAAAGATATTAATTTATGTGATTACTTTTCACAGCATTCAGAATCAAATTCAAACAAATCAGAGCAACACCGATGAGGATGGGCAAGATGTTCAGGAGAAGCAGAAGCCGTTTTGCCGCTACTCCAAATTGATCGTGCTCTCTCTCTGTTGGCTGCTGTTTACAGTGAGAAAAGAAAAATCATCACGCGATTGATCATCTATTTATGTTATCATTTTGATTCTTTATGTTGCAGGTAACACTTATGTTTAAGAGCGAGAGAGTCGAGACAATGCATCGATTTTCCATTCCAAATGGACAGATCAAGAGTATCCTTTCAATTAGAAAATTTGTCTAATTTAAGAGCGAAAAATGAATATAACAAAATTAAAAGTATTCGAAATTAATCTTATGTAAAATGGATTTTGATTCAAGCTACAACATATGAGAAAACTAGCAGATTTTACTAAGATTTAATTTTATATACCCAGATAGAACATGAAACTCATATAATGATTTTATTCACCATTTAAAAGTTATCTGGATAAAGTGATTTAAAGATAACAAAAAGAATCATAGATTTAAAGCCCTCTAATATAAAACAATCGCTTTATATAATTTTCAAAAAATTTATGTTGCTTGAATATTGTTAAAATATGTGTGAACAATAGAATAAATAAATAATTGTAATATATAAAATTTTTTCCAAAATGACTTAAGTGACGTTATCATGATGTCATAAGTTTTATGTTCTACCTGGATTAGTGCAGAATTTTTGAATTTATGTAAAATTCTAGATGAATCCCGATAAAATCAGCTGGTTTTCTCATATATTGTAGCTTATAATTTGTTAAACAAAAAATAGACTCAAAGCTAAATATTAAACAATTACTACCCAAGTAGCAAACTGACGTCATTAAACGTCAAAATAATGTATTAGTAAATAGTAAATAATTATGTAGTAAAATAATGTAGCCTGAATAATTTACAATCAGTCAAACATGAAAAGCTTGAGCTGTTTAACTGACAGTAACTCAATAATTGTCCATTATTTAGCTTTAAGGCTATTATTACTTCGTTTAGCAGATCATAAAAGCTGCAACATATAAAAAAACCAGCTAATTTAATGGAAATCACAATTTCACATAAAATTAATACTTTACATAAATAAATCGAATGAAAAGTAATTTTCTCTTTAGAAAATGATCCTTAATAAGATATTCTCTCAGATTACCAAATCGAGGAGCATATTACAAACGTATTGATCAGCATAAAGGTGGAAGGATCATCATTGCTGCCGTCAGATAAAATCGAGCAGTACGCAAATTTGTCTACGAACCACTTAATGATATGGCTGGAACTCCTTGCGAAAGATGAGAATACGTCCCACGTCAACTTGGAAAACTTAAAGGTGTTTGCATACATCATTAAATATAAAAATTAGTATTTATACAAAAATTATTTTATATACGTACTCACGTTTTACGACAGAATACGCCAATAATCCGGCTAAATCTGGAACAGAAAGAGGAAGAAAAGAAGAGATCAGTTATTATTATTATACATCTGAGTAAATTTTGTCATTTAGTTAATGCATCGTGATTTTTATTTCAGTTTCAGAATGTAAGCGACGTGTGGGTTTTGCCATTATTGCCCGAAAACTTGATGGACATCTTTCCTGAACAGAGGCATGAAAAGACTTTTAAGATAAACGCCGATAGCGAGTACGTTGCTTTATATTTTATATTATTTGTTGTTATAATTTTTAAATGTTATTTTTTAATTTAATTATATATTTTATATATTTTAATTTTATATTTCTCGTATATATATATTTTATATTAGTTATATGCTTTATATTTTATATTAGTTATATGCTTTATATTTTATATTATTTCTTGTTATAACTTTTAAATGTTATTTTTAAATTTAATTGTATATTTTAATTTTATATTTCTTTTATATATATTTTTTATATTAGTATTGTATGCAGGATGGTAACTGATCAAATATATATGAAGCACACCATAAAATCCTGTGATCAATTTGGAGACTATTTTTCTTCAGTGAAAATGTCGAGGCGCCAATAATTTTTCAAGTTATTTTAATAATTGAAAGAAAAGAGCTTGCAAACTAAACTTCGTGTACAGTTAAAATATTAACAAAACTATACATTCTTCAGAGTTTAATAGAATTTAAGGCTTAGTTACAAAAGATACAGGATGGAAAAAATTGGAGTATGCAAAAAATGAGAAAAAATCGTTTTCAAAGTGATCACAAAATCTGTTGATGGGTGTACTCTATGTTTTCTCAGTTACACCCTGTACATACATACATTTTTTTAATCAACTTGAAAATTTAATTTTGTAGGGCACTATTAGATGGCACAATGTTCATCAAGTTTCGTACAAATTCAGAGTCGAGTTTGTCGTTTTCCTTAGTTTACGATCTGTCAGTGAATACCGCTGCTGGCATAATATACGCCGCTTTTCTCTTAATTGGCCTCTACATCATGATTATTTTCGAGGTAATTAATATCACGAAATATTTACGCATATACGGTTTCTAGTTTCTATAGAATATTAAAATAATATTTACAAATATTATATCAATATTACATTCAGGTTGTGCACAGAACTTTGGCTGCCATGCTGGTGTCTTCGATGTCCATCGCGATATTGGCAATTTTAGACAAGGTACAATATATAAGATGAATTTCTTTTTACATGTGTGCGTGATAAAATTTCAAAGAAATTCAAAAAACAGTATCTTGCTTCAGCGACCAAGTATGGATGAATTGATGTCTTGGATAGACATGGATACGCTGCTGCTCCTGTTTTCCATGATGCTACTGGTAGCAATTATCGCCGAAACCGGCATATTCGACTGGTTAGCAGTCTACGCTTACAAGGCGAGAAAAAAAATAACACATAATTTAATAGTCTAAACTATAAGACGTTCGTAGCTGAAGCGATTCTTCAAACTCTAACAACGCACATATCCCGAAGACGTTCAGAGAACATCCTGAAGATGTCCTCTGGATATCCTCTGAATATCTTTCGGATATATTGTGCTATTAGGGAAATAATTCGCCATTTTTTTTGTTTAGATAACCGGTGGTAAATTATGGCCGTTGATTATGGCCCTGTGCTTCTTCACTGCTCTCCTGTCATCGATACTGGACAATGTGACAACCGTGTTGCTAATGACCCCGGTGACCATTCGGCTGTGCGAAGTGATGGAGCTGAACCCGGTCCCAATCTTGACCGCCATGGTGGTCTACTCCAATCTTGGGGGCGCGATGACGCCGGTTGGCGATCCGCCGAACGTCATCATTGCTTCCAACAAAGACGTTAAGAACGCCGTGAGTATTCGCTGCAATGCTGGTGAATAAACCTTTTCACCTCGATCGAATAGACAATTAATGGATATAATTATACCGAGGCAGGAAATCGACTTTGGCACGTTCTCGTTGCACATGAGCATCGGAGTGATACTGGTGTTGATCGTCGTCTCCGCGCAAATTCGCTACATTTTCCGGGACGTCGCGGTTCTTAGATTCAACGAGCCACAAGATGTACAGGTACGTCATTGAAGAAGAGATTCTAATCAGAATTAATTATGTATAAGTCGTAAAGGACTCAGCACAATCTATGGAAACTGGAATTGGCTGGTCTTTTCATATATTGTAGCTTGTGACCTACAAAAGATGTAATAGCTTCAAAGTTGTAAAAGACCCAGCACAATCCTTATAGAAACTGGATTTCGATGGAATTGATTTGTCTTTCATATATTGTAGCTTGTGATCTGCTGAACAAAAGATGTAACAGCTTCAGAACTAAATAATGGACAGTTACTGACTTACAGCAGGTCAAACAACTTCCCAGGTAGCAAGTCTACGTCTTTATTAGACGTAAAAATGACGTTATTTTGACGTTTAATGACGTCAGTTTGCTACTTGGGTCGCAAAATTCAAATTTTTCCTGTTTGACTAGCTGTGAATCAGTAACTATCTATTACTTAGTTTTAAACCTATTTTTTATTTAGATCATAAGCTACAACATATGAGAAAAAATCAGCTGATTTTATCGAGATTCAGTTTCATCTAGGATTATTTAAGTTCAAAAATCCAGAACTAATATTAAATTGAATCTTGATGTAAAATTAGCTGGTTTTTTCATATGTTGTATCTTATAATCTGCTGAACGAAAAATATAATAGCTTCAAAGCTAAATAATGGATGGTTACTGAATTACAGCCAGTAACAATTCGCAGAGTCCATTTTTCGTGTGTTGACTAGCTGTAAATCAGTAATTATCTATTATTTAATTTTAAACCTATTACATTTTTTGTTCAGCAGATCATAAGCTACAAACATAATGAGAAAAAACAACCAATTTCACTGAAATCCAATTCCTATAAGGATTATGCGGGGATCTTTACTATACAATTTAATTTATTATAACTTAATAAATAAATCAATGTGAGTGAATTAAGATTTTACACATACTCGCAGGATTTGAGACACATGATTGCCATCTGGCAACGAGCGGCAGCGAGTCTGTCCAGCTACAGCAAAGACGAGAATCTAGTGAGGGAGACGCTGCTGAAGAAGGTGCAACGTTTACTATCGCAGCTGAAGAAAAAATTGATAACAGGAAGCGCAACGTTAGAAAAGTATAAGACCACGCTGGAGGAGTTGCAGGAAAAGGTTTTCATATATACATACAGGGTGTCCCAAAATTAATAGCAAATCTTTTAATGGCAGATTCCTGGGATTATTTGGAGACTATTTTTCCTCAGCGAAAATGTCCAGAGAGACCATCATTTTTTGCATGTTCCCAATTTTTACCATCGTGTATCTTCGTAATTAAGCCTTAAATTAAAATTCTATTAAAGTAAACTCTACATAAAATCAATAAAAGAATGTGATTTTGTTAATATTTTATTTCCACAAGACTTGGTTTGCGAAAAACCCCTTATTTTCAATCGCTTATAACTCGAAAATGATTGATGTCTCGACATTTTCGAGGAAAAATAGTCCTCCAAATGATCCCAGGAATCTGCTATTAAAAGGTTTGCTATTAATTTTGGGACACCCTGTATATTTTTGAAGCTGTCATCCTGCATCTTTGTTTATCTCTACAATCGGGCCTTTCTTGCGCTTTTAGTATCCTATCAGAGACAAGTGGTTGCTGGTAAAATCTGGATTTGTCCTGACTTTCGTGATCACGCTTTTCTTCCTGCACAGCGTGCCACAAATGCATCTATCTCTGGGCTGGATCGCCCTGATCGGCGTCATGCTGCTTCTGATATTAGCCGACAGCGAGGATTTTGATGGTCTCATGGCACGCGTCGAATGGAGCACATTGTTATTCTTCGCGTCACTCTTTATTCTTATGGAGGTATCAGAACTCTCTAAAAAAAATTCCCATGTTAATTTCAAACTTAGATTCCTTAATTTCTCGCATACTCGAGGTAAAAAATCAGGGTGAAAAATACCAGGACAGCTATTAGGTCTGTTTTCAGCTGGACTGACTGCACTAGTTCAGGGTTTATCTTTTTTACTCCACATTGGAAGGAAAGACAAACTCTGAAGTGATGCAGCCAGTTCAGCTGAAAAGAACAGACCTATTATGTATCTACTCAAAAATAAATTCCCAAGATGAATGTTCATAATAGGAAAATGACGAAGAACAAAGTTATTCCAAATTGGAAACGTTTCCAAACGGAATAACTTTATTTTTCGTAATTTTTCTATTAAGAACATTCATATTAAGAATTTATCTTCGAATATATACATAGTAGGTCTGTTCTTTTCAGCTAAACTGATTCAGAGTTTATTTTTTTTACTCCACATTGGAAGGAAAAATAAATTCTGAACCGGTGCAGCCAGTTTAGCTGAAAAGAACAGACCTATTATGTATCTATTCAAAAATAAATTCCCAAGATGAATGTTCATAATAGGAAAATGAAACGAAGAACAAAGTCATTCCAAATTGGAAACGTTTCCGAATGGATACATAATAGTTGTTCAGACGTATTGAATAATTAAATAAGACGTTTTGAATATTGAATAGGCTCTCTCGCGTATGGGTCTCATTACTTGGATCGGCAAGCAAACCGAAAACTTCATTCTGTCGGTGAACGAAGAGTCCCGATTAGCGGTCGCGATACTGTTGCTGCTCTGGGTGTCGGCTATAGCAAGTTCCTTCGTCGACAACGTGCCACTCGCTACCATGATGGTGAGAATCGCGTCGAATCTCGCGCAAAATCGCGAGCTCGGCCTGCCTATGCAACCCCTGGTGTGGGCGTTAACATTCGGCGCTTGTATGGGAGGTAAGAAGAGTTAAGCTTGAATCTGGAACTTTTCGTTAATTCGATTCGTCCAATTGTCGCGTTAGGGTCACGTCGTGTAGATCGACGAGCTCCTTTAACGCAAGTGACAGCTTCTCTAGCTTTCCTTATATAAATTAATGCGAATAGAAATGTTGTTTAGCTCAACAGTTATGTTTAAAGGAAATGGAACTTTGATTGGAGCTACTGCCAATGTTGTTTGTATGGGTGTCGCGGAACAGCACGGCTACAGATTCAGTTTCATGCAATTTTTCAAGTAAGAGAAAGAAGCCATGTTTAGTCATTAAGTCTGACCTCGCCATGACTATGTTAGATTGTGACGTTAGAGGCGAGATAAAATTCCTTAACAACATACATATCCGAAAGACATCCAGAGGATGTCCTCTGGATATCTTCTGATCGTCATCCTTTGGATATGTTATGCTGTTAGGATTCTTAGGTGTCATTTTTAAGATATTTCGATGGAACACTAGTTCAGATGGCTCTTTTAAAATACCTCGAAAACTATCCTTTTCCTTTTGATCAATCAACAATTGTGAAATGACTGTAATATGACCCAAGTAGCAAACTGACGTCATCAGACGTCAAAATGACATTTAATATATAACGTCAGTTTGCTACTTGAATCATATTACAGTCATTTTACAATTGTTGATTGATTACAAAAGGAAAAGGATAGTTTTCTAGATTTTTCAACAGCCTGCTAAAGCTATCTGAAACACCAAAATATCTTTTTATTTCGAAATGGCATTTAAGAATTTTTAGTATGTGTTTTCTCGCCTCTGACATCACAATTCCAACATGGTCGGTGAAGAACCAGGAGCCTTAAAATCATAATTAAAGACTATATATTAAGACACATTGTTATATATCTTGATATGTTGCAGGGTAGGATTTCCTATCATGATAACAAGTACTGTAACAATAATGGTGTATCTGATGATTGCTCATGTAGTCTTCGACTGGAATGGAAACTAAATATAATGAAGAGTTATCTGTGAGAGATTTGTTTAATATACAAGAAACAATGTACTTGTATATTCGGAAAAATGCTTATCGCGTGTAATCTCTTAAGAGGAAAATATTAATACAATTGGGAAGTGTTATTAAATAATTCTTAAGAATTATTATGCTACAAGTTTCGACGAACAGAATTATTCACTTAATCGCGACATATTTTGAAAAAAAATGTAAAACATTAAGTTTTTTATTCCATACTTATAATTTAAATATGTAAATATATATTTAGTAAATATATATATTTTTATGTTTCTAAACATATAATATTTGTATAAGAAAAATGTAAAGAACTGAAAATTCTAATTGTAATTTTGATTTCAATTCTATCACACACATATACATATTATAGTATATGTGTGTGTGTGTGTGTGTGTGATAAAATTAATTTCAAATTCTGTGATATATAAAATTTCAGACATAATATATAATATGTAATATTGTTTTTACTTATTTATCTTAATACGAAACACAAATACTTTATAGTAATATCAATTGCTAACAATGTGTAAACATAAAAGAAATTGTAATAGTCGATTCTCTTAATTGTAAAAGAATTTAATGATCACATAAAATACATATTTATTTGCTAGACAATTCGTTGAAATATTTTTATTTATTAAAAATGAGTTTCTCTGGGAGAAGAGAAAAATATCCAAAACGTATCACGTAGCGTTGCCAATTTCTTCAAAATCAAATCATTTAAATCGTAAACTTAAACTTATATTGTTCGTAATTGTGTGCCTTGGAATATAACAATCATATATTTGAATTAAATCACTAAAATTGAAATATCTTTCACAAAATCAGTATTCTAATAATTGACAATATACAAATTACTGAAAAAGAAATTTATTAAAATTATCATTATTATTATAAATATAAGCGTTACGAGTTCGCTAAACTCGTTTGCATTAAATCAGATGCTATCTTAGAGTTTGTGTACATAGCATAGAAAAAAAATTTTACAAAGAAGCAATAGAAGTCACAGAGTTGCTGTAAAAATATTGTCGTATTTACAATAAATATAATATATTAATGATGTGATGTTTAAATGTGATGCTTTTCTCTTTCTCTGCAATTTCTGTTATTTAACTGAAAGTACTACAATTTCTGACGATTGTTTCTTTTTCCAGTTTGCATCAGAACTTTGTTTTCACAAATATTTGACAAAAACGACATATCTCTTTATAAACATTTATAAAAGCTTGAATAAATATTTGTAAATATAAAATAAAATTAGATAGCTGCTTTTCACATTTTTTTCTGTATTAAAATCTTAAAAATATTCTCAATTGATTGCGTTGAAATTAAAATTAAAATTATAGTTTAAAAACTGTCATGTGAATAAAAAAGTCTTACAGGTGGCAAAGGAAGTAATCAAAATTTGAAAAAAAAAACAAACTTATCTTAAACACATGACCGATCAATTTTACTACACAGTTACACTATAGATTATATTTGTATAATTCTGATTTTATGCGATTACACAATGTGGCTTCGTAAAATCATGCTCTTATTACGCTTTACCGGGATATGAATTAACGTGAAATCAGTATCTTCGTCGACGATGCCGAATAGCGAAATAACTTTGTCGAAATAAAATTATCCAGACTTAGCGCGCAGCAAAGGCATCCTTCGAGAGCTTCGTTAATAACTACCTGAGATATCTTATATAGTTTTCAGTCATTGAAACGCATAAATTTCTATATAACACTGCTGGACTACTTAATACTCGAACATTACCGCCCGAAAACACGCGAATGATGGAGGGAGAGATAACAAAGTATACGCCAAGTGTAGAAATTGAAAAAAGTACCCTGCAATAACATCTTACGTGAAAAGGATTTCAATTAAATCAGCTGATTTTTTTTCATATGTTATAGCTTATCACCTACTTAACAAAAGATTCAATAGCCTCAAAGCTAAATAATGGACAATTATTGAGTTACAGTTTGCAAAGCCTGAGTTTTTCATATTTGACTGATTATGTAAATCAGTAACTGTCTATTATTTAGCTTTGAGCCTATTAATTGATTCAATTTCATCTACTTCACATAAAGTTCCAAAATTATGCACTAATTCTATATAAAATTAAATCTTAATGAAATCCGCTATTTTTCTCATATGTTGTGCTGAACAAAAAATATAATAGACTCAAATAATACTGATTTGCAGTCAAACGTGAAAAGTCAGTTAATACAAATTGTCGCTCGTATATTGAAAACAAAGTGATAAAAATAAGGCCAACTTATCGAGCTGAATATTCGAGATGTTCAGTCAACTACCATTTATTACATGTATAAATTATGAAACTACAGTCATTATATTAAAACTAACGCAAATTACAATCATTCTATAAACGTTTCGACCGCACGCGGTCTTCTTCAGTATAATTATTGAAATATAAATTCATACAAATTCACATAATATCGAAATTTAATTATAGTTATTCAGAATCGAGAGTTTTTGAGCAATTAACGTGTGTTCTAATCCGTCCTGTCCAACAATCATATATAAACACGCACGCTCTCCGATCAAGTAGAGTTTAAAATGAGCTGTCTTTCTGTATTGTTGGTTTGTTATGTGTCATCCTTAATAACTGTTAATAAGTGGCAAAATTGTCAAGAAGGACGATGATAGCGCCTACGGAACGGGTTAATTTCTCGCATATTAACGATGAAACTATCCGAGATCTGAACAAAATCAGAGATCATATCGAGGCGAACATTGTTGGACAGGACGGATTAGAACATACGTTAATTGCTCAAAAACTCTCGATTCTGAATAACTATAATTAAATTTCGATATTATGTAAATTTGTATGAATTTATATTTCAATAATTATACTGAAGAAGACCGCGTACGGTCGAAACGTTTATAAAATGATTGTAATTTGCGTTAGTTTTAATATAATGACTGTAGTTTCATAATTTATACATGTAATAAATGGTAGTTGACTGAACATCTCGAATATTCAGCTCGAAAAGTTGGCCTTATTTTTATCACTTTGTGAAAAGTCAGGTTTTGCGAGTTCTCTGACTGTAGTTTGACTGACGTCATTAATTGTACATTATATCATTTTAATTTTATTACATCTTTTGTTCAGTAATAATAAGCTACAATACATGAAAAACACAGTTGATTTGATAAAAAAATCCATCTTACATAAGATTAGTGCGGGGTACTTTGATACAGCAAACAACTTTGAAATTTAAAAAGCGGAGACACTTATTAACGAAATATTGCGTAGCATCTTGAAAACTTGAAACAGTATAGAAAAAAGGATATTAAATACAACACGACGAGATGACAAAAATCGCGACATATGTAATTAGAATGAGATATGTAATGTTTTTCCGAGCGGTGTAGCAGTCTTATATATTTGATATTCTATCGGTACAAAAAGAAAAACGCACACATTCACATCAAGATTTACATCGAAAGTAACATCTAGAGACATAGGTGGATGTCATTTTTAAATATCACGATGAAATTCTCGATTTTTGACAATAAAAGAGGGAGCAAAGAGAGGATGAGAGAGAAGAGAAAGAAGAACAAAATCGAGTCACGCGTCCTAAATGTTGCTTTCGATGCTGTTGTCTCAAAGAAATAATGGAAGAAGCAGGCCCTTACATTAATTACAACAAACCATGCAATATATTAGTAGCACTTGTGGAATGCCTGTCACGAGAGATTGGTTTGTGCCGAGGCGCGCATTTATTTAAGATTCTTGGTTCTTCACCGACCATGTTGGAATTGTGACGTCAGAAGTGAGAAAGTACACGCTAAAAATTGATGCCATTTCGAAATAAAAAGAATTTCGATGAAAAAGCACATCGGATGGTTTTCCACACTCTTAAAATACCTCAAAAAGTATCCTTTTTCCTTTATAATCAATAACAGCTGTAAAATGACTAATATGACTGTAATATGATCCAAGTAGCAAACTGACGTCATTTTGACATCTGTAACATCATTTTGACATTTAATGATGTCATTTTGATATCTATAATGTCAAATTTTTGACATTATATCTATAATGTCATTTTGACATCTAATGACGTCACTTTGACGTCTAATGATGTCATTAAACATCAAAATGACGTATGCTCTGTCGTTCCGCATGACAAGTCTGATTATTTTGCGATTGTTGATTGATTGTCAAAGGAAAAGAATAGTTTCATCGAAATATCTTTTCATTGAAAATTATATCTAAGAATTTCAGCTTGTGCCTTTCCGCATGTGACGTCACAATCTAACAGCGACGAGGATCAGGAGCCTCAACAAGCGTATCCGATACGTCTCTTTCAGAAATACTTCATCGAGAAATACCTCGCGCGTTTATTTACAAAGTACGAAAGGGTTCTGTAAAGAAAAAAATAAGTACAAATTACCTAGCTTTGATTCGTATCGAGAAGATTCGGGGGAAAAGCTGGAGGTGAAGGTAACACGCAGAGAAGCTGCTGTAAAAATAATAATCGTAATACATATATGTGCACCACGGCGATGAGGTAACTCTAGGAGGTGTTATCGGAAACCAGATGGCAAGTATATATGTGTGCGGATAACAAATAAAATGCTAATTCGCTTAAAACCTAATGAGACTTGAAAGAGTTTCCTTGAGATCTACGGTAGTATTATTACAAGGTGATTGATACAAAAAAAACAGAATACATCTTTATAAGAATAATTCTTCCATATTTGAAAAAAAAAACATGTATATTTGAATACAATAGGAACATTTTGAACATTCCTAATTATTACAAGATATTTCATTTAAATGAAATAAGACGGAACATTTTTACCGGTACAAATAATGCTCGTTTCGTATTTATGTCTAGAATCTTCAAATTTAGGAGAATTTGTTAATTCAGATATTCTGTTCTGTGATGAATCATCTTGTATATAATTAAACAATACATACGTAAAACTTATTCGAGAATGTATATATATATATATATATATATATATATATATATATATGTACAGCAGTTTCTATACACGTTTTGGCGATTATCTCTTTCATACGTTTACTGGGAAAAAAATTCTTAATGCAATTCTTTATGCTTTGTATGCGAGAGTTAAATAGTTCAGTATCTTTAAAATTTAACCCTTTACACTCAAATTAGCTTAGGAAGAAGAAACTAATAAAAATAGTCAATAAAAATTTTATAATTTTAACATAATTTTTAATATAATTTTAGCGAAAATAATAAATAAAATTATCTTTTGTCGCATATTAAGCAAAAAGTGCCATCTACATTTATCAATAACTGAATTTTACGTCGCTGTATCAATGAGTGGAAAGGGTTAAAGATGATAAAAAGTCATTATGGCCGTATGTATATTTCTGTTTTACTCTTTATAATATTACGAGTACAGGGAACATATATAAGTTTCCAAGCATCATTCCATTACGTGTACAGATCATCCAAGCAAAAAGTGTCTATTTTCAAAGATTTTGATGTCGATATATCATAACACACAAAAGTGATGCAAAATTTGATGCAAAAAAGGCACCACCAACTTTGTTTTTTTTTATTACACAATTTGATACAGAAATCATAGCACATCTATTTCAATCTCTGCATAATGTGCAAATTTGTGCAGAAAAGCTTGAGATGAGAATCTTTTAAAAACAGACATTTCTCGCGACTACTATATATATATATATATATATATATATATATATATATATATATATATAAATATATATATAAAATTAATTAAGTGTAACGCAGAGCTATACCTTACAAATTACACACAGATCATCTTATATAAAACTATAAGATTCCATTCGAGCGATCTTTGTTCCAATATGTGCAACACAATTGTAACAAATCTGCAATTACACATTTACACATTATGGCAACGTAACTCGTTACATTCATCATAATTTAGGACGATTTCAAATGATCGATTAGTTGTTGCCGTCGTTTTTTTTCTCTCTTTCTGGATGAAGTATCCCTATCTGCTTTTGCGTCATTACATATTCAGATATATACAATTTACCTATAAAAACGTAATCGATCGATTGGAGTAGTTGTCGCACACACATTCCTCTATCAAACAATTAAAACATCTCGATATGGATATTACACGGGGTGACTGAAATGTAATATTATAACTAATACTCATAAAAAGTTGTACTTTCTCAAGTGTATTGTCATGCTAAACGTAATTAATAAAGACACGTCGATTAAAAAACAGGAGCGAGAAGAAACAGCTGAATAATAACAGGTAATGCCACAGAGTGCTCTACAACGTACGCCTAATTGTATTATTATTATTGCTCTTTGCACTTCTCTCTCAAAAAGGTTCTCTCGAAACGCCGCTTCTCGCCTACTCTAAAAAACTCGTGTAAAAGTTCGCTCGATATCGAAACCCAACCAACGTCGCAGCTTAGTAAAATATGCCCCTATGTGTCTTTCGAATACTTAGTCGAGTCTATAAATTATCATCATCATCATCATCATCATCAATTCCAAAAATTAAAACAAAGTGTCCCCCTTTCTCGTTATATAAATTATATTCGTGTTTCACAGTGTTTTGTGTCAAGATCTCGTAAAATATTATATAGCGATGCCTATAACTACAAGAGCAACGACACTGTATTGTCATTAAAAAATATTATATTTTTTTCACGTGGGTATATTTGGCAAGCATGCACGTCGATCTGGAAGATCCTCTCTTTTTTCTCTTCTTCTCCTGAATGAACGACTACTAAATGTTACAGCCCAAAAAAATCAACTATATGGTTTTATATAATTAATGACAACTACGAGAGGACGGCTCGCAGTCTTTTCCAACGTGGAATAATTCTCGTGGAATAATTCCAATCAAACGCAAACTCGTGTCTACTTTTGTTCGAATAAGCGACGTTATTATTGTGACCTGGATTCAAACTGGCCAGGTCGAAAATCCGTACGGCAGACGAGAGTCGGAGCTTACTGGCCGGGGAGCTAAATACCAATTTGCGGCTTCGCTTACTATTGTTGTTGCCGTCGTCGCCGTCTCCGATACTGCTACAGCTTTCGTTACGACTTTCGTTTTGCGACTGTTTTACGGTTTTGCGGGAATACTCGGCGAGAAACGATTTCGCCATAGATCATTGCCGGTACGCCTGCGGCGACAAACCGTTCCCAGGAGTCACATAGTCACCGATCATCAGGCTGGGATTCACTGGATAATGAGAAGAGTTGCCGAGGACCAGCGATTGCTGGAAAGTAACACCAAGCTGTAGCGCGAAAGGTCACGCAAGCAAACGCTTTGCTTTAGTTTCCGTCTCTCACGTCAACAACTTTTATTAATTTATGTAGCAAACTATAATTGTAATGTGTCAGGAATTTTCAGCGCGACAGCAGTCGTTTCATGTTTGTGTGCGCCGTTATTTTGTCCGAAGCATTATACAGGGTGTCTCAGACCTACGCTAGAACCCCTTCCAGATAGATATACGTCATTTTGACATCTAATGACGTCATAGATGTCAAAATAACATCACATATGTCAAAATGACGTCACTTGCTACTTTAATTACGTCAGTTTGCTGCTTGGACTGTTAATGGCAGATTCCTGGGATAATTTGAAGACGATTTTTTTTCAGTAAAAATGTCGAGACATCAATAATTTATTAGCGATTGAAAATAAAGGATTTTCCACAAAATAAAGCCTTGTGAAACTAAAATATTCACAAAATTACATTTTTCAGTTAATTTCAGGTAGAATTTACTTTGATAGAATTTTAATTTAAGGTCCTTCTAGATCCTCGCCGCGGCCATGTTAGATTGACGTCAGAAGCGAAAAAGCACACGCTGAAAACTCTTAGATACCATTTTTAAATGAAAAGATATTTCGATAAAACACTACTTCAGATGGCTTTATTAGTATATTTTACTATTTTTTCCTTTGACAGTCAATCAACAAAAAATTAAAATCATCATATCAAATTTTGTCATACTGAGCCTCATATTACAGTCATTTTATAGTTATTGACTGATTATAAAGGAAAAAAAATAGCTTTCAAGGTATTTTAAGAGTGTGCTAAAACCATCTAAAGTGCTAAGAGAATTTTTAGCGTGCGTTTTCTCACCTCTGATGTTACAATTCCAACATAGTCAAATTAGGAAGATGCACAAGATGATTTTTGCTGAGAAGAAATCGTTTCAAAATAATTCCAGGAATCTGCCATTAACATTATAAAGTTGATCTAAAACACCCTGTATTTTAAATAGAATAATAAGTAGAACATACTCTTCGTTATCGCTCATATATACATATACATATACATATACATATATATATATATATATATATATATATATATATATATATATAGTAACTCACTGTATACAAAATGTTAATATTCGAAATGTACTCACAGTAGCGGGTGATGTAAACATGTTTGGAGTTATTCCACCGCCTATTAATTGTGCCGCTTGTGTACTCGTGGCTGTACCTCCTACACGACCTCGTCCCGTACTCGAGATGGAACCGGGATGAATATTTGGTTGTCCTCCTGTTGCATAAAAAATATTATATATTTGTACATATATGGTTTAATTAACAATAAAAGAATAAAAAAAGTGTTTATATATATAAACATCTAAATCATTTACTAAAAAGCCTTTGAACAAATACATACAATTTATTTAAAATAATAAAAACCACTACTCATTGATTTTTATTCTTTAAAGCAGAATGTTATTTGAAAGAAAACAATCCAAAAAATATGTGTCTAAAACACTACACACTTATAAACCATTATAAAACACTACAGACTTATAATCTTGAAAAACTTGAACTGTTGCTAGCTAATCTAAAAATAAATAGAATGTATTTATTACTTATGAAGACACATTTATATAAATCAATACATTAAAATAATCTATTTTTTATTAGCACAAAACAATAAAATGTGAATTTACTTGTATAGGTTTATTAATTTGTATTAAATCAAGAGAGAACAAATTGTAGCTTTTTTTATTTTAATTAAACATTAGAACGAAAAAGTATATAAACTCAATTTTTAATAAATGGGATTAGAGTAGATAGTTAAATATTTGTATAAATCCATACTACTAAAAACAAGTTTATTTACATGAGTCAAATTCTACAAAATATGTATAAATTAGAACAATCGCAAGGAACTTTTTTCTTCTTTGTACAAATGTCTCCCATGATGTACAGTAATAAAATATGCGTGAATCCACTTTTTAAGTACCACATTACAATAAAAAGATCCGACAAATAATTTAATATTTATGTAATTAACAATTATACTAATATATGTAAAATTAGAACAATATTAGCATATAAAAATTAAAAATGACATGTTTAATTTTTTTCTAAATATTCCACTCCATTTCAAACTATAATTGCAACTATCATCCAAAGGGCTTTTTGCTTTACAATTTTCAATGTTTATACTATAAAGAAAGATTTACAATACCCGATAAAAAGAATTTTTAAAAATGTGTCACTACATAAAAGCTTGTAATAAAATATTTACTGACTACTATATTCCATGCTAATTTTATTTAATGGTACATTATGTAAAGAGAGCCATTGAAATAGAAAATTTAAATCAAATAATGTAAAATAGTTTTTAAACAAATTTAGAAGAAATTCTAACAATTTCTTGTATAACAAGATGTTACATGAAATCCATAATACAATACAATACATAAATAATAGACACAAAATATCACGTATCTTGAGCAATACTTCAAACTTCTCTTCAGAATGTCTCCAATTGCAAAGACGATTATTTATTACTACTAAACTGTACTTTGATATTTTATATTTTTTTAAATATGTAGTAAATACGTATAGAATATACGGGGCCCGCGAGAGAAGCGTCAATGTGTGCGATCACGTAGGCATCCTTCATATATGTATATTTTGTGTGACACAAGACTTTATAAATATATTTTTCTACGACAATATCGGACATCGGGGGGAATCCAAAATTGCTTGATGCACGTAGAGCAAGGACGTCGATTACAATATTATATTTCGCACACGACACACCGTTCAATACATGTAATGGTACACGGAAGAGTCAAACCAAACCTTACCTATTGCCAGCAAATTATTTGGATTTACGGTCGCACTTGTGTCCATCGAGACCTCGCCGAGCCCGTTTACGGACATTCCATTCACCATATTCACCGCTTGTCGAGCACCTTGCGCGTCCAAGGTCGTCCAATAAGATTCACTAGGCGAGGTGTTATTTAAACCTGGGGGTGGCTGCGCCGCGGCGCCTGTGTATCGGAAGTAAGGATTTTTCAGGTCTAAGGTGTTGCTACTGCTTTCCATATTCGTTCCTTCAAGCTTCAAATCTATTGTTACATCGTAGGATTGTCTGAAATGTAATTTATTCATATATATATATATATATATATATATATATATATATATATATATCTGTATATAACAAAATAAGTATGGAAATAAAAACAAGCTATATGCAGGGTGTCCCATAGGAAATTGCTGAAACTAAGCTGTCATTTTTCAGAGTGTATACTCAAATCTTAGAAATAAGTTCCCTGAGGATTCCATGATTTTCCAGATACTTTTGTTCAAAATTCCAGGTAAAGTTAAGTATTTTTAATAATATTTATAGAATACAATTTTGAAATAAGTTTATATGTTATACATAATTTTTTAACATAAATGAAGTATTTTTTAATATAATAATGTAATATAGTATTATATTATAATAAAATATATTTTAATATATACTTTATATAAAACCAATAAATTTTTATATTTTAAAATCAGAGGGGCATTTTTTTTAATTCTCTGAGTTCAAATCAAATTCCATGATAATTCCAGGATTTTCAAGGTAGAACAAAATTTCTTGAGAATTCTTGGTTTTCCAGGAAGTATACACCCTGATTTTTTAATGCATGCAGTTATTGAGAAAATAAAAATTGTGTTGGAAAGAGGAAAGTCTGCAGTTTTTAATGGATATAAAATGTTTGTATACCAGTTTATTTTATTGATAAAAAGTATTGAAAAAAGTGCTAAAATCACATAAACTAATGATAAATATTTTCGACAGTGCCAGATTTAATAGCAGCTATTGAAAGGATCGTCGATAACTTAAAAAATGACAATTAGAAAAAGTTTTTACGAGTTTTCGTAAAAGAACAGAATGTAATACAATTTCAAATGGTGCACACTTTGAAAATATTTATCATTAATCATTAGTTTACATATGATTATTAGCATTTTTTTTCATTATTTTTTTCAATAAAATAAACTGGTATACAAACATTTTATTTATATCCATTAAAACTGCAAACTTTCCTCTTTTCAACACAATTTTTGTTTTCTGAATAACTACATGGACTAAAAAATGACAGCTGATTAGTTTCAGCAATTTCCTATGGGACACCCTGTATTTAGAGCTGAAGATTTAATAGCAAGCAATACATCATTTTGATGTTTAATGACGTCAGTTTGCTACTTGGGATGGAATTGGAAACACGTAAAGATCAGAGCATATGATATTTACCTTTTATTTGCTATAAGGATGACTTTTCCAGAGAGTAGTTGTCCACTTTTACAAAATAATGGATTTTCTAGGAGGCAGCGTACTTGATACCAGTGAGTAAGAGGCTCTGTAGGAGCTGTACTCAGCCAGACTTGTTGCGTGGATCCGATAAATGCTACATCGAACCAGAAAGCTAGACCGTGGCAAGTACCACTCTCCAGTATATGAAAATCGACATCTATTTCTAAAGGGAAGAAAATTTTGCAAAACGTCAGCAGTGTGTCGCACATTTTCTTTGTATGTAATTTAATTTCTCATTTTATACCTATTTTATGTAAATCAGTCTCATCAGCTGTTTGGAAGTCTACTATATGCCTCACAGATTTCGCCATACATATTCTAATATCAAAAGTATCGACAATCGGCTGCCTAAAGTACTCTTTAATAGCGTTATTTCTCATAGCAGAGAGATCTACTCCATGGAAACATGTCTGATACCAAAAATTGGCCTTATTGAACTGTTCCATATAGAGATTTTCATCAGAGAAAGGTGCGATGTGCAGATCACCTCTAGAAGGGAACATTCTTCCACCTATGGGTAAAAATAATTTAATTAAAAAAGAGGAAAAAAATAAAATAAAATTAGCAGAAGAAAGAAACTAAATGCTTACCTGGAGCCAACCATTTCTTTGCATGCAAATAAGTTTCAAGCATTCTTTCGTTATACAACATGTATCCCATAGGTTCACTCACTATACAGTCCACACGTTCGGGTAAGTCGATCTCTTCTATCTTTCCGGCTATGACTATTATTTTATCCGATAAATTATTAGCTGCGACTAACAGCTCGGCATGGTTCGCCATGTTGCTCGCTTCTACTGCGTACACCTTTTTCGCACCGGCTTGTATGGCAAAAAACGACAATATACCCGAACCAGCGCCTACATCTAGTACAACCTTATCCTTAAAATCTGACAAGTTGCCAAGAATTGCTCGCTGGTATGTACTAGTCCTAATGTAATCCTGCATCATGTTTTGTTGTTGCGAGAGATAGCCATAAAATTGAAAATACTGCATTGCTGAGGATTCTTCTGTTCTTTCATTGAATGCTGATATACCTTTTCCTATCTTGAGTTTTACTATGTGCGAATGAAAGTTGCGAAAATCTGTGAATCAAAAAATGTATCTGCTGAAATTCTCTTTCTCACAGATATATACTTTTGTAATGTCTACAAAGGACCTTAATCCTTACGGAAACTGAATTTCAGTTGATATGACTGATTTTTCATATATTATAGTTTATGATCTGTTGAACAAAAAATGTAATAGCTAAATAAGCTAAATAATGGACATTATTGAGTTACATCCAGTCAAATAGCTTGCAAAGCTCGAGTTTTATATATTTTACTTTGAGCCTATTACATTTTTTGTTCCATAGATCATAAGCTACAACATATAAAAAAACCAGCTGATTTCATCGAGATCCAATTTCATATAAATTTAAAAATTCCATATTAATCTTATATAAAGTTAAATTTTAATAAAATCTGGTTTTCTCATGTATTATAGCTTATGATTTGCTGAACAAAAAGTAAAAGTTCAAAGCTAAACAAAGGACAGTTGTATAATAAATAGACTGATTTACAGCTAATTAAACACAAAAACTCAGATTCTAGGAGTTATTTGACTGACTGTAGCTCAATAATCGTCCATTATTTAGCATTGAGGCTATTACATATTTTGTTCAAACAGATCATAAGTTAGAATATATTAAAAAATCAGCTAAATTCAACTGAAATTTATTTTACATAAGAGCGGAATGCTTAACATGATCTTGAGGTGCGAGAATTTTTGGCTCACCTGTTTCATTAGCAAATGTAATGAGTAAACTATCTGTATCAAGTGTAAAAACATAACTTCGAGATGATACGCGAGAACATTCAGTACTGGGAGTGACTGGAAATTCCAATAGACTTGTCTTCTCCTTGTTGTTAACATCTGGAAAGAATACCAAAGACGTTAATTAAATGCATTGACATGAGTGATATCTTTTCATCCTGGGTTGCATCCAAAATGTCCTCTTTGAGGAAAATTTTACAGAAAAACCTATAATATATGTTACATATATCTATAGATTTTGAGTAAAATTTTCCTTGAAGAGGATGTTTTGGAACGCAACCCTGATTCATATATATATATATATATATATACACACACACACACACACACACACATATATATATATATATATATATATATATATAAGGAAAAATATAAAGAAATATTGACAAAATAAGCATATAATTGTAAAGAATAAATATCATCAAAAGATAACATATATATACATCTGACACTTGAAATGACAGATGAACAATTTATACCCATTTCAAGCGTCACCTGCCTATTTAAAAAGGGACAAAAACATAAAATTCGCCCGAGCCATGTTTCTTTATCACAAAGCAAACAACGAGACAAATAAGACCGAAAAAAAGGACAAAGAACCAGGAAGATCACCGGCGATCGACCGGGGTCGCGACACTGCCCGGGCGCGATCTCCCCCTGGAGGAGGAGGAGGGGGAAGGGGGAAGGGAAAAAAATAGGAGATCAGTCGACGCTACACCTCGGGAAGTGTGGTTATGTCGCCCGGGTTGGCTCGGTCTCGCGATCGATCAGTCGCGTCGTCGTCGTCGTTCCCGACGACGACGACGCCTTCCACCCTGGACAAAGCGAAGCTCCCGGGGCCGGATTCTCGTACCTGAGACGAACTCGACGCTGAGGCCCTGCGGGTCGTAATTGATATTGAGCGCGACCGGCTTGTTGTACTTCGGCGTGGTCTGCCCATTGTTTGACAGAGCCGAGACCGCGACCGCGCGAAACGTCTTCGCCATTTTTCGCGACACACCGCGTGTGCCAGCCGCTTCCCGACGCGGTTCCCTCTCACTCCTTCTCCCGGCTCCGCCGCCTTCTCCTTCCTCGCCTCCCTCTCCACCTTCTTCTTCTTCGCCCCCTCCTTCTTCTTCTTCTAGCTCGCTCGTAGTGTTCTACGTCACGCGTCTCTCCCGCGTCTCTCCCACGTCTCTCCCGCGTCTCTCCCGCAGCACTCGCGTGTCGTGAGGAACAAAAGCGTGCCGCCGCCGTCGCCGAACGTAGGGAAGGTAAGTGTGTATGTGTGATGGGAGAGACGGAGCAGCTCCCCAACCGAACCAACGTCGTCGCGCTGCGAAATCGCGCGATTCTTGCTGTTCGCCACCGGACGCCGCGAGGTGCCGCGAGAACTCGCTCACGGCGCCGCCGCCTTCGCCTCCGACGCCCTCCTCCGTCCTTGAGGTTTGGAGAATGTGTACGTGAATATAACGTGCGAATTTTCTGTATTTTGTAATATGGAGCCACAGGAGCGAGCGAGGTTTATATGAATGACATCGTTTTAACGTTTAATGACATAATTTTGACGTTTATGACGTCAGTTTGCTGCTTGAGACGGCTCGGCGCCGATATGAGTTATTTGTCAGCTTGTCATCGACGCGAAAAAGGCTGCAAATAAAAAAAAGTAACCCTATAGGTAGAACATGAAACTTATAATGATGTTATCATGATTTTAGTCATCACTTAAAATTAAGTTATCTGGACAAAAATGAATCAAAATTATTTAAAAATGACAAAAGGATTAAAGCCCTCTTCAGGTAGAATATAAAATTCACAATGACATCGTGATAATGTTACTTAAAATTCATTTTGAAAAAAAAATTCTATTGTTCACACACATAATATTCAAGCAATATAAATCTTTTGAAAATTATACAAAGCGATTATCCTATATTAGGGAGCTTTAAACTTTATGATTTCTTTTTTTTTAACTTTAAATAATTTTATCGAGGTAACTTTTAAGTGATGAATAAAATCATGATGAATTTTATGTTCTACTTGGGCCGTAATATAAGATAATCGCTTTATATAAATTTTCAAAAAATTTAAGCAACAAAAAATTGTCACTTGAATATTGTTAAAATATGAACAACAGAATAATAAATAAATAATTGTAATATATAAAATTATTTTTCCAAAATTACTTGTGTGTGAATGATCATGATGTCATTATATGAGTTTTATGTTCTATTTAATAAGTAAACTTAATTATGTAAAATGGATTTCGGTTAAGTCAACTGATTTTTTCCATATTTGTACCCAGATAGCAATATAATAATTATGACGTCACTTTAATATACATACACAGCATACGTCAAAATAACGTAATTTAACGTAGCCAAAAATGGCTACTTTTGCTATCTGGATAGTTTTATGACCTGCTGAACAAAAAATGTAATACCTTTAAAGTTAAATATAATGAACAGTTACTATAAAACTACAGCCAGTCAAACTATTCGTTTTGAGTTTTTCATGTTTGACTGGCTGTAATATCAGTAACTGTCTATTATTTAGCTTTGACGAGTTTATTAGATTTTTTGTTTAGCAAACATATGAAAAAAACAGCAGATTTTACTAAGATTCAATTTTATAGGATTAGTGCGGAAACTCGGACTTTCAATTGTTCATTATTTAGCTTTGAGGCTATTGAATCTTATTTTGTTCAGCAGGTTATAAGCTATAAAAACATATGAAAAAACCAGCTAATTTAACCGAAATTTATTTCATATAAGGTTATTGCGAGGGACGTCAAAAAATTCTTGCTTCTCTGTATTTAAAATAGAGCTGTTAATAAAAAAGAAGAAAAAATACATTTGCGATCTTCTCCGAATAATTAATTATAAAATTTGCATGCATTATTCCATTCCGGAATTATTTATCTCATCCGTGAGTTGTATTTAAATTCGAACTCGAGATGAATCTCCGCAAATATAATTAATCTTCCGTCAGCAATCTTTTTTTTTTTACCGCGTCTTTCCTCTTAATCCAAATTCTGGATTATTTGTTAATCTTAATTACAATATTCAATAGATGTTAAAGCTAAATATTATTAAATTGTTTATGTATGTATAATATGTATGCTAATGTTATGTATATGTATGTATGCTAATTGTTTATGTACATTATTATTTCCAATTTGTATAATCTTGTCGATTTCTCTGCCTAATTCATAGAAAAATATATTTTCTCTGATTTCTAATTTTTTCTATAAGTATTATAATTTTAGGAAAAAATCCTGCGGACGCTCTTGGTCATTTCTACAAGTTTTGTTTTACTTGACTTATTTATTCTTTAAAAAAAATAAATAAATAAATAAAAATACAATTTCCAGCATATAATAAAAAATGTAGTTCTCATCGATTAAATTAATCACGGAAACAAATGGGAACGAAATTTTTATATGTAAATGAACATATACTATATATATGTATATAATATATTATATATTATAATTTATAATTCTAGAAAAATTCTGCTGACGCTTTTGATCATTTCTACAAGTTTTGTTTTACTTGACTTTATTCTCTAAGAAAAAATAAAAAATAAAAATAGAATAAAAACAATTTCCAGCATATAATAAAAAATGTAGTTCTCATCGATTAAATTAGTCACGGAAACAAATGGGAGCAAAATCTTTACATGTAAATGAACATATGCTATATATAATATATATAAATAAATGAAAATACGAGGCAGAGATTTCATCTAATAAATTGTGTTATCACCAACAAAATATCGATTATTGTCAATATCGAATAAGCTACAACCTCTCTTGTCCTGCAAATATCTTTATATACATATATATATATATATATATATATATATATATATGTATATGCATATTAATTATTACAGAAATAGTAGCGGCCGATGAAGAATAGATCAAACAAATATAATCATTGCATCGGGAGAGAAGAGAAGAAAAAAGGGTGCTGCTGGCTATGAGTGATAAACTTTGAAAATCATCAGTAAATAAGCTTATATACACTCGTTTGAAATAACTTTCTAAAGACGACGGTCAAGTATATCTCCGTGTTGCATCTCTCGTTTAATTAGCTTATTAGAACGGGGGCGTTTGAATCTAGTAATTCCTTATCAACTTCCCTATCTCGATTACACGGCGTTTAGAATTAGTATATTGCACACCAGGGAATCGTTAATGGCTTTACTTAGCACGCTGATATATTTTCGTAACGCGTTGAACATATAACAGAGAAAGACAGAAAGATTGCCGATGTGATACAAATGATATATATATATATATAATACGGGGTGTATATTTCCTGGAAAAACCTGGAATCCTCAGGGAACTTTGTTCTACCTTGAAAAATCTTGGAATTATGGAATTTGCGAACTCAGGGAATTTTTAAAAAAATTACCCCTTTGATTTTGAAATATAGTTTTAATAAATATAAAATGTATTAGTTTTATATAAAGTAGGTATATATTAAAATATATTTTGTTATAATATAATACTACATTACATTATTATATTCAAAAATACCACATTTATGTTAAAAAATTATATATAACATATAAACTTATTTCAAAATTGTATTCTATAAATATTATTTAAAATACTTTAATTTTACTTGGAATTTTGAGCAAAAGTACCTGGAAAATCATGGAATCCTCGAAGGATTTATTTCTAAGATTTGAGTATACACCCTGTAATAGCGAGTCCGTATATCGATTTACGTGCAAAGTGCAAGTAGCTTTATTTAGCGAATAATCCATCTCGCCAATGAAAAGTCGATTAAAATACATAATGATGAATGCATGCGTTGAAAGAGTTTATCCGAGCTGTATCAGAAACATGCAATTTTCAATTAGGCTTTTGTAAAGTTAATCAGCGCGACATTAACTCTCTTTACATTTTTCCGAGCTTTCGACAAATAAATTTCGAATATATCGAATATTTTATTCTAATTTTCTCTGATGAAACAAGTTTTTCACGCGCGTATAAAGATTTAAAAAAAGAAGGAAGGTGCTTAAGGCCGATTTTCGGCCTCCTCTGATTTTTTTTAAATTATAAATAAATGTTTTATTTCGACCACCATTTTACACTTGCTTATGCGCTTCAGGTGGAGAAGAAAGTTGAAAGCATTTGTATAAGTTTAGTTGTGATTGTGGGAATGAATGTGTAGCGTATTTGAGGTATAGGCTTTTTATTTTGAAATTTATTTTGAAAGAATGTTGCTACTAAAGAATATGAAATATTTAATTGTCATATTTTACACACAAAAATATAAAGAAATGTGTAGATGGCAGAAGAGTGTTGATGATAAAAATTGTATTAATTGGTGTTGCAGGTTTCAAATATATAGAATATCCAAAAAATTCTATCGAAATACTGTAAACTTTCAAGTCTCGTAATTTAAAAAGTACTGAATTAAAAAATACTTTATTATTTTCAAATGTCTAATCACGGTTATTGAATTTAGATTGTGCGTATGGTTTATCATGTTTCGTCTTATCATTTATCTTTTCTTTTAAATTATTTACTAGTGTCTCGAACTCAACCATAACTTCTTATTACTTTATTATAGTGTTTGGAAAAGCTCTCGAGCTAGAACTACAAGAATATACAATAAAAAATGAGGTTTCCATTAAAAAATTTCAAGATCTTTACGTGACCTTGACGACGTTGTTCAAGGTCATACAGACATTCTTACATAATGCATGATTTAAAATCCTACAATTTTTGTTTAAAACATTTTTTTCTATCCTGCATATTTTTGCGTTATTTAAAAGTCTTCAAACTTTTTACCCTATATAATACGTCCATTTAGCTTAAAATCACCTGATTTCAACAGTTTTACAAAACTAAAACATTTCTGATATCAGAGGTCTTATCTCCCTTTATCAAACCCTTTATCCCCTTTATCTTTACCTTCTCCCAACATAAACAAACATTCAACAAGCTTGGCTCCTTCATTAGTCCGCTATGGATACCTATTCAACAAAATATCAGAGCCTTCTACTTCGATAAAAAAAAAAAAAAAAAGGAGAGCCGTATAGTGATTTTCCAAGCAGTTTCCTCGCGCGCCACTTCGATCATTTGAAGAGAAGAGAACTCCGTTTAGGATTATCGCGAACGCTCTTCGCGTCTCGGGGGAGGGTATCCCCCGGCCTCGATATAGGATCGCGAAGGGCTGAAGCGGAGCGTCCGAAGGGTCGCGAGCAGCTCTTTCGATCAGCCAGCCAGCCGGCCGAAATGTCGGGGCTATATACGTGCGCGTGTATGCGTGATGGTGGTGCACTCTAACCGGGGGTTGGTTGCATATGTATATTTGCGCGGCGGCGACGGCGTCGGGACGCCAGGGTGCATGCGCGGAATCTCGC